TCTGTTTCCTTAAAAGTTTCTGTACTCTACCTTTACATGTCATCATATATGCAACTATTTTCTGAAGGAGTGTGTGTGTTTGTGTGGTTATGCAAATACAAAAATGAATAGAATGTGATCCCCGCCTTCCAGAGGCATATGGTCAGTCCAGTTTCATTTGTACACAGTGGGAGCTTCTCTAAGCCAAACTCTGGCTTGCAAAAACACTTGCAAAAAAACACTCTGTGGTTACATAGTATCATTCTGGGACTAGAGCTTCTTCACTATTGTTGAGTTTTAGCATTGAGCAGGGGCGGGATTACTTAGAAATCATTTAGTCCACACATAAGTTGTAAAGATTTTACAGAAAAGAAAAACACCCACACAAATAGTAAGTACTGTGACAGATAGTAAGTACTCAGTATGTGTTAGTTAAATGTGAATATCATATACAGTTGGTGAAAAAGAGACCCAGCAACATGAAATGACTTGCTTGGTGCTATACATCTAGTTAGTGGTCAAGTCTGGCTTAAGAGTTCAAGTCTCAGTATTCCTAGCTCATGTTCATTCCTATCTTCTGCCTTAAAAAAAGTATCATGATATAAAAGGGAGGCTAACTCAATCAGCAATTATTTATGTACCCGTTGGGTGGCTGACACTCTGCTTGGACCCTGCTGAGTACACAGGAATATTCCCAAAGGTGGGAGGGAGTTACAGACTGAAGTAGGTTAGAGCAAGGACGTTAGCCTATCTGGAACAGAGAGCTATTAAGTTAGGTATCAGATAAGCAGGGTGGGGCTAAGGAACACTGGGAAATGGAGGCCTGCACTGTATCACACATTCTGTTTCCTTTAAGCGGCAGCCTTCTGAGAGGACATAAAGTGACACAATGAATATAGCCACTGGAATTAGCCCTGGGTTCAAATTCTGTTTATTATGATCCTCTGCATCAGAGGCTTCCCATTTCATTAGAATTTGAAGCCCCTATTTTAGTTTATAAGGACCTATACAGTGTGGTCCTCTATCTTGTTGGCCACTTCTCTTATCTCTTTGCTCACTCTACTTTAGCCACAGTGACGTCCTCACTGTTCCTCCATCACACAAGTGCTCTTGCCTTGGGGACTTTGTACTTTACTCTGCTAGAAACCCCTTCCAGATCCTGGTATGGCTTGGCTCTTTCACTTCTTTTAGATTTCTGCTCTGTGTCACCTTATCAGAGTGGTCTTCTCTGACTACCCTATGTAAACTAATACCCTTCTTCATTCCAACTCTTAGCTGAATTTATTTTTCTTTATAGCATTTATTACTGTGTGATACATACTTATCCTTAGAATGTAAACATCTTGAGAGCTGTAGTCTTATAGAGCTTAGAACAATGTGGAGTAGGTATTCTGAGTGAGTGAATGAGTTCTGTAATGCTCATGAGGCTCAATGTGACCATCTGTAATATTGTGATAATGCTTATTTAAAGGGTTGTTGGGATCAAATAAGATAATGCTTATCAAGTGTAAAGGCAAATCCTTCCTATTTTTCCTCTGCTTTCAATAATTCTGACATCAGAAGTGTGGGTTTCCTACACACCACCAAGCAATTGTCATGTTCTCTGGACACCAGTTAGGTATTCTACAATTTAACTAAATTTTGACACTACCTGCTTTAAGGGTTCAGTCCCACAAGACTGCCCTCCGCCTCCCCTTCAGATGCCAGTTGATACCAGTTGCAAGCCCAGGTTTTTACTTGTGCTTCTGATTGATGGGCCATGACCCCCTCCTTGGGTTTGGTTGATTTGCTAGAGCAGCACGCCAAATTCAGGAAACATATGTTTATGAGATTACAGGGTTAATTTTAAAAGACAATTCAGAACAGCCAGCTGAAAGAGATGCCTAGGGCAGGGTATGTAGGGGCCCCTGGGAGCTTCCGTGCTCTGTAGGCGAGACACCCTCCCTGCATTGCCACATGTGGACCAACTCGGAAACTCATCAAATCTAGTTAATCTTAATTTGCAGTGCCCACTCCCACCATGGGCCCTCTCCTAGAGCTTGGTGGGTGGGGCTGAAAGTTCCAACCTAAACATTTGGCCTTTCTGGGGACTACTAGCCCCACCCATCCTAAGGCTATCTATGGACCCCACCCTAAAACACCTCATTACCATAAACTGTGCTCAAAAGGGACTGTTCATGAATTTTGAACAGGGAACAGAGACCAAATATATTCTTCATTATATCACATCAAGTATCTATTCCAGAGTCTGGCACATAGTAAATGCTCAATAAATGCTAATGTCTGCCCTCTTCCATAAATTATTTGTATGGCTAGCCAGTTGATACCTTTAGTGGTATCCTGATTTCCTTTGACTTGGATAAGAAGGGAAATTATACATTAGGGATGAAAAATGGTTATTTATATCTTGTATAATGCAGTTTTAGCAGAATGCAATAATTATAGTGCTTACATCTTCCTATGGAGCCACGAAGCTAAAAGTAGCTCTCAATAAATATATTTTAGAGAAGTTTATCAAAAGACAAATTTTTAATCAAATCCTTTATTTCCATTATAAATTGGAGTTACAGTTTTGCTACAAGAAGTCTCAAAATAGGATAAAATCACGATTTGCAGTACTACAAACCTGTGTATTCTTTGGAAATTTTTGCTTTGTAACACCCGTGATGCAGTGATTTTGGCCAGGGAGAAATAAAATAACTTGTATGTATTGCTAAGGACTAGGTTGTTTATTTCCTACTTATGAGTAGAGGCACCCCAGCTATCAATTAGATTTTGTTAATTTTGCTTAATCATTGTTCCTTACCAGTCTTAGAGGCTGTTAGCACCAGTGTTTTTGTAAGGTTACAAGTACTTCATAAACTTGTTTCCCTTTTTACTACTCTTGGTGACCAAACTAGGGGCAAGATTATAATTGTGACCCCCCCAAATTTTGTTATTTTAAGGCACACCCTATCACAAGGAACATTTTTAAAATTCAGAATTCAAATGAGTAAGAGTTCTTTCTCATTGGATATGGAAGCATTGTATGTATATGTCCTTATACTATATACAAAGGATATAATATACATTGGTTTCCTCATATTCTACCACCAACCCAGTCATTTAGCAGTCTGATTTCACAAGTGAACTTTTGGCATTAATCTGAGAGGATAGCCTAGGCTCTTATGGAGGAGACTCTTGGCTGGAGGAGCCATATACCTAATGTGTTATTATCTCTTGAAGTTCTAGTGAAACTTGAAGATAACTGTTTCTTCTGGGCAAAGAGTACTCTATTATTGTGTTCTGTATTCCAACTACTTGTTATAGAAGACAGTGACAATGGCATTGAAGACAATGAATGCTCTTAAAAAGCAAGCAAGCAAACAAAAAAAAAGAAATGCAACAAAATTCAAAATTCCAACCTCTACAAATGAATGAATGAATGAATCTCCCTCATCCTCCCTGCCAACCAGAAAAAAATAGAAAGCAGGACACCAAAGAAACTAAGGGCTCTATTCCTGTTGCAGAAAACTGTGAGTGACACGGGTGTTCAGATTCCCACGCAGGCTGGTGTTAAAGAGTGTTTCACTTTACTGATAGATAATAATTCCTCTGGACCTCTGCTTTCCTAGTCCAGGATTAGAGGCCTAAACATCCAGGATTCAAACATATCCATTGCTAGTTTTATCTAAGTATCTAGGAAAAGGCAGAGAAAAATTATCTGAACAAAACTGTATTATTTGACATAGACAGCATACTTGAAAGAACGTGGACATTGGAGTCCTGATATACCTGGGATTAAATTTTTTGCCCCTCTACTTACCATGTACCCTTATGTAATTAACTTCTTTAAGTATATTTCTTCATCAGAAAACAAGATCCCTGATTCGAAAAGACATATGCACCCCTGTGTTTATCGCTGCACTATTTACTATAGCCAAGATAAGGAAGCAACCTAAGTGTCTATCAATAGATGAGTGGATAAAGAAGATGTGGTACATATACACAATGGAATATTATTCAGCCATAGAAAGAAAAGAAATCCTACTATTTGCAACAACATGGATGTAGCTAGAGGGTGTTATGCTCAGTGAAATAATCCAGGTGGAGAAAGACAAATACCAAATGACTTCACTCATTTGTGAAGTATAATAACAACAAAGCAAAACTGAAGGAACAAAATAGCAGCAGACTCACAGACTCTGAGAAGGGACTAGTGGTTACCAAAGGGGAAGGGTTGGGGAGAGTGGAGAGGGAGGGATAAGGGGATTAAGCAGCACTATAATTCATAATCACAATATAGGTAGGTCACGGGGAAGGCAGTACAGTACAGAGAAGACAATGACTCTGTAACATCTTACTACACTGATAGACAGTGACTGCAATAGAGGGGGTGAGGACTTGATTATGGCTGAATGTTGAAACCACTGTGTTGTTTAAGTGAAACCATCATAAAATTGTATGTCAATGATACTTTAATAAAAAAAATATATGTATTTCTTCATGTACAAAATGAAGATATATCTACTTTGGACTATTGCTATGAAAACTAGTAAGATAGTGTATGCAAAGCTCCTACTAACAGTCCCTGGCACATAGAGGTGCTCAACTGGTGGTAACTTATTATTAATAATAAATATTCATTGTCTTCCCAAAGATGTTTGCTATAGAAATTTATTGTGTATTAGTGACTTTACATTTTTATTGTGAATTAAAATTTGGTATCAAGCCCCTTCCAAAGGTGATGAAATTTTTAACCAGTGTCATGGGAAATCTGGAAAATTTGGAAGTTTTTTGGGAGTGATGAACAAAACTACCACTCTATACTTAGTGTCATAGTTACTCTGTAGGAGAAAGGAGAACCTCATAATTAGTTTTAGAAGGGAATGTATATGCCAAGGTTTTGATCATAGCATGCATGCTTTCTATTAGTTGTGTGTACATATTCAGGATGTGGGAGAGATGTGTGATCTGAGAAGTAGGGTGTTCATGATAAATATATTTTTATTTTAAATAACTCTTTTCCCCCCTCTCCTCAGCTGCTCAGATAAAGAATTTGATGAGCCAACTAGGAACTAAGCAGGACTCAAGCAAGCTGCAGGAAAATCTGTGAGTAGCTTCCTAACGAGGGTGGGTTTTGTGAAGGCCATTTGAGGGCACACTTAATGCCCTCGCTGTGTGGCAGCTTTAGGTTTGAGGCCTGTGAAGTCAGAATGAGAGGTAATGGGACTGAGGTAATAGATTTAGAAGAGGTTACAGCAAAATATATTAATGGGTTGTGATCACCACTGCCTCTCAAAGTCCTTCAAGTCTGGACTTCCCTTGGGCTGTTTAGCAGAACAATTGAGGGAAGTAGAGTAGGGAACACCCTCCCACTCTTAAACGGTAGTCTGTGTAAGTGAAGCCTTCTTGTTGTCAGAGGACTCCTGGTGGTCTGCAGGACTCAGCTAGTCTAGGTGGATTTCCAAGTGTATGCAATACTAGAAAAATGTATTCGGAATGATTCAAGGGGAGTCTGAGGGAGAGAATAGTGGACTGGTAGGAGGGACTCATGATTCTTTTGATCATATCCTTCTTGACTCCATTTCTGCTTTTAGAAGTTCAGTTCTTCATCTCTAAAATATACTGAACAATATTCTTTGTTTCCTGACCTAGACATTGTGAAGTGAGAGAATGACTTGCTACTTTGAGCTTTTTCCGGGGAGATGTGAAAAATCTCTGGATATGTTAGTATACTGTCTGGGATGTTCAGGTTCTTGACTGACTCCCTTGTTTTTTTTTTTATCTTCGAGGCCCCTTTGCAATGAAAATCATTAATAATTAATAATGTGGTTTCTCTATTGTTCCTGAAAACCTTTGCAGAAATGGCCAGATAATAGAGGAAACCATGACTGAAAGGAGCTCTTTTTGTATTTCCACTCTTTTTCAATCCCTCATATATTACATACTTAATTTTTAATTTCCTTCCCTCTCTACTCCTTATTTATTTTTATATTGTATAGGTCTTATTTGTTTTGAAGAGGAGAGCCAAAAGGTCAAGCAAGCATAAGGGACAGTGGGAAGCTGAGGATAAGGTTGAAAAAGCACCAAATTTAAGTTCAAACAGGGTAGTAGATCTTTGGAGGTTGTTCCCTAGGGGAGAAGCTGTGCTTTTAATCACATTTCATCTGACCACCGGTGCCTAGATTCTGTCTCTACTAAGCTGTGGACTGTGGCAGATCGTGACCCTGCAGAACTGCTGGGCAATTCAGTGTGAGAGTTCAGTGTGGTGACACTATTGGATTTAGGTGTGGGGCATTGGCTGTCATTTCTATCAGAACTCCTGATGTGCTCTGCTTTTCTCCCCAGAGTTAAAATACCTGGTCAGCAGGTTTCATGAAGTTTCTTTCTGCTCAGTAATATAAAATGCCTTGAAGTGGGTTTGACTGGGTAGTAGTTTGGGAATTTTGTGGTACACCTGGGCACCTATTCATCCAGTGCCCTTTTATCCCCTGTTTTATCAGACACACTGTGAAGAAGCTGATACTAACTGTCACAGCTCTTGGACTGAGACCATCCTGAAACATGTCTTTTCTCTCTTAGGCAACAGTTACAACACTCTACAAATCAGCTTGCCAAGGAAACAAATGAATTACTGAAGGAATTAGGGTCCTTGCCCCTTCCCTTATCTACTTCAGAACAGGTTGGTATTCCTGGCTTGTTTGTTTGTAATAGGAAAGGATTTTGTTTTAATGGAAAGGCATTGTGTGCAACAAAATAAAACTTGGCCTTTGGTGCTAGACCTTCTCTGAACCTTATTTTCCTTGTCCAGAAAATGAGGTATGTGACTGTTGTGACAGCAGGAAGAATGTGTGTACCAGATCTTGCAAAGTGCCTGGCGTTTAGTAGGTACTCACTATATCTGTTAGCATTAGTATTAATATATTAATGAAATGGGTTTTAATGAAGAAGAACCTCAGTGTTTGCTTCTCTTGGCTTGCAGTGTTTAGCTAGCAGCTTTATATTTGCAGGCTTGGTCCTAGTTTATTTTGTATTCATTATCTATAAATTTCAATCAAATGTCTTTCTTTTCTATTTTGCAGTCACTTTCATATCCCATCATGAGTTGTTCATAGGTCTCAGGTTGAGAAAATGTCAGGCAAAAAGATTTCTCCTTTCAAGTCATTTTATCCAGTGGCCATTTAAATCCTTATAAAACACAGAATTTTTACTGAGTTTCATTGTTCCCTTGATATTTCAGGCCTTTTCTTCGCATACTCCTGAAGTCAGATGTGCCCCCTTCTTTATTGTGGTTTGCCTTACTGTGACCCATCATTCACAGATCCTCTCTCTTTTAGGAAAAAACATTCTCCGTTTACCTTAGCCTGTTGTGATTTCATTTTGCTTTTAGTTTCTATACCATTCTTAGGCACACTTGACTTAAATTGCTTTTCATTACTGAATTTTTTAAGGATGATGTGCTATCTCTGTTGGCTTTAAAGACAAAGCCTACAGCTTCCCTATCCTGAGTTGTTGTTTAGTCTGTGAGTTGTGGCTTTTGGAACATGAAATAATTTTGGTGCTGTGACCATCATTAAAAATGAAATAGAGTAGCAGTATCACACTGTGTACCATGTGCTAAGGGTAATTATTATTATATAAAACTTTTGTTTCATGCATACATGTGTATATGGTACTGAGTCAAGATGTGACATTATTACTGTGAGTCTCCATCAAAAAGGTTGAAAACACAAGTTTTTGCCTGGCAAGCTGTTTAATGAAGTTTATTTTCAGTCCTTGGACGTTTGGAGCCCTCTTGCACAAAAGAGAGGAACCAAGACTAGATGTTTTGTCACCCTGCTGTAAAGTAACTAGGATAAAAAGTAATCTTGATGTAATCAACCTTTGGTATCCATATGTGTGCTGTTTGTTTTGCTGTTACTCATGCTATCTCAGTTATGGACCAGTTCCCTTTGCCATCCAGTATCTCCAAATTGTGCCCAAATTATCCCTTTCCTCCTCCTAGTTGTGCACTTAGGGAATAAACACTTGTAGATAGTTTTAGTAGTAATAAAAAAAGGAGACTAAGGGTCTGATGCAAACAGAGTTTTGAAAGTACTTAAGAGTTAAATAGTAGCCTAAGCAAAATATAAGTAAAAAGTTAAATCTGCTACCAAAAAAAGAAAAAAAAAAGATTTAATGTATTCCAAAATCAAATAGAAGTTATTTTTGGATTATGCATGCTGTTGTTCCCTTCCGTTATCTTGGATCATTAACAGCGCAAAATAGATCTACAAATTCCTTGATTCCCTTCTCCCTATTGTGCTAAGTACCCGTTTTTCTGTCAATTCTTTCTTCATCTAATTAATCTTAGCCCCATCACCCATCTTTTCTGTACTGTCCTATACATCAGACCATACAGCCTACTGTCAGAATTTTTTTCATACTTATGTACTATCGTTTATGATCTTTTAGTTGCTTTTAGTCTCGTGGCCTTTTTTCAGTTTTTTATTCACTTTTCTTCTCTGTTCCATTTGATCCTTTCTCCTATCCTGTCTCCACCAAAACTTTCTTCTTTCCAATAATCCCTTTTCATTCTGTCCCTCAACTCTGGTGATCCCTTTCTGGCCTATTTTCTCTTATCCTGTTTGGGTCTCGGCCTCCTTTTCTGACTCTGTATCTTTCTTCCTGGGCATACCCCACAGCTCTGCTGTTGATCCTCTAATTTTCTCATTACACTTTCTCCCTCAGGAGAGAGGGAGATTACCTACTAACCTACTTCAGTGAGCTCCCTGTCATCTTTATGAACATGATCTTCAGCTCTTTTTCCAGCCCTACCCTCTAAGCCTCTGAATAGTTGGCCCATAATGTCAGTCCCTTTCAGGTATCTCCTCTTGAATATACTGCCTTCATCTAAAATTTAATGTGTTGTCTTACACTGAATCCCTCCTGTTTCATCCAAGGTCTTTAACTTAGCAGATTGATAATACTTACTGTCATAAAAAAATGTGTACCTTTTGACCTAATATTCCTACTCTTGCAAATTTGTCCTGAGGGAAAAAAAAGTTCTAAAAAAAAAACTATACACTCCAGACCCAGATTTCCTGGATTTAAATTCTACCCCTTCCACTTACTGTGTGATACCAGGCAAATTATTTACCCTCTCTGTGCCTTGGCTTTATGACGTATAAAATAGGGACTATAATACTACCTAATTTATGGGTTATTGTATGGATTAAATGAGTTATTGTATAAAATACTTATAACAGTGCTGGTATGTGATAAGCACTATATAAGTATTAGCTGCTACAATGGAGCTCACTTTAGCTTTATAATAGTTAAAAACTAGGAACCATCTAGAAGGAATGTTTAAATAAAATTTACTAGATCAGCTTGATAGAATACTCTGTAACAAATACCATAATTGTGAAGAGCATGGTAACATGGAAAATGTAGAATATACTTACAAGGTAATGTTTTTGGATGGTGAGATTGGGAAGTGATGTTTTCTCACCCTTATTGTTATAATGTTTGTGTAAAAATAAAAAATCCTAGGAAAAGGAAAAAAAATTCCTTATTTACATTTGCTTTCAGTATTACCATAACTCTCCCAGGTGTGGCATTTGAGTCATTCTTGACCTTATTCTCCTTCCCCACCAAGCCAGTCACTAAGTCATATGTTTCTTAAATTCATTTCTTTGAGTTCCCGTTATTGATACCATGTCTTCCTGACCTTAAACCTAGACTGTTGCAGTAATCTTTTTGACTTCTTTTTCTGTTCCATCTTGTACACATCAGAGACTAATTCTTCTAAGTTATTATTTTGTACCCATCATGTTTGCTACTCAGAAATCTTTGTTGCTTTTTGTACTTCAGAGGTAGAATCCCAAACTCATTAGCTTAGCACTTAAAACCTGCTGTGGTCAGGCCCTTCCCTGCCTTCCCAGTTTTATCTTTAAGCCATTCTCATGAAAAAAATTTGGTTCCAGCTAGAATCTTCAATTTCTACCACCATGCCTTTGCTCACATTGTTCTATTGACTGGATTTCCCTTACCCCTACCCTCTGCTTATTCAGACCTTTCTCTTACTTCAGTGTCCACCTCCTCTTGAGGACTTTTTGACCACTTGAGTTCTTACCAATTATATGTGCCTCTGAACTTGTATAGTACTAATTGGATAGAGCATTTATTTATAATGATTTGTTACTTGTATGTTTGTATCCTTTATCTATGTGTAGATGGTAAGAGTGAGTTTTTACTTCTCTGTTCTCAGCACATTGCAAGTGCTTTCAAAAAACACCTGCTGAAAGATATGTAAAGGTAGCCTGTAACAAAGTAGTTTTCATGTTCTCAAAGATTTTAAACCTCACTACAGTGTAAAGGAAAATGATTCTGTAATTTTCAGGGAAGCTGTGAATTCAGTGTACTTGAATACAGTTTTAACATTTTAGCAAGAAACAATCCCTCGTTTAGGTCCAGTCTGAGCCCAGAGATATTTATTCTGCTTTCAGATTCTCCAGGGAACCAAATTCTGAATTATAATCCCCTCTGAGATTTCTTTAAAAAGTAAATGATCCCCAGTTCTCAGGTTTGTCAGAATCAAAGAAGGAAAATTCTGACTTGGCCTATAGTATAAACCAGAGATTTGCGTTAGTAAAGAGCAAATTTATTAATTCAAGGAAGAGCCTATTTCCCAGTAATTTTCCTAGTTTGACATCTTTAGGGGGTATAATTTTGCTTTTAATAGGAATAGAAACCAAATGATGATTCTGGGTTAATACGAAATTTCACATTCTTGTTTAATTTCGTTAGCGCCAGCAGAAACTCCAGAAAGAACGCCTCATGAATGACTTCTCTGCAGCCTTGAACAATTTCCAGGCTGTGCAGAGAAGGGTCTCTGAAAAGGAAAAGGAGAGTATTGCCAGAGCAAGAGCTGGATCTCGTCTTTCTGTAAGTTTATACCCAAAAGAAGACCTTTGCAGTTTCAGGATGTTCTTTCCCAATTTTTTTTTTCCTCTCTGTGACCATTAGCCTTTGTTTATTCCCCTCCCCCTCAATAATAAAGATAGATATAGCAGCTGTGAAAATGCCAAATTGGAATAACATATATAAAAGGTGTATATGCATATGGTCAAAGACGAGAAAGGAATATGTGCAAAAATTTTTTTTAATGACCCAATTGTGTGTAATTTTCTTTTCTTTTTTTAATTATATGGTCTTACGCTAAAAACTTAAAAAAAGAGAAAAGTAATCTGTCCCCTAGGATATAGCAGGCTAGGTTATTTGGACTAACCTGCTCTTTGAAAATAATTAACAAATACTAGATTTTAACAACCAACTTCTCAAAGGTATCCAAGAGCCATGAAAATATTAAGGTCAAAATCTAAGAGAAGGTGTGAACCCATAGAGGTAAGTAGAGGACTGAACTGTTTTTGCATTGAATATATTTACTGGGGTCCAACTTGAACTTCAGTTCTTTGATGTCTTCATGACATGGTGGGGAACAAGCCCAGGGACCACACAAGGTAGAGAATCTCAAAGAAGGTGCTCCTCCAATTAAACTGGACCCTAGAAGACTATATGCTTAGTGTATAGGTAAACCAGAAGTAAGCCCTCCTTTCCCCAGCAAACTGTAAAAAGATTGCTTTAGTACTGAACTGAGAAGGTGGTGGAGGACAGGAGGTTGGGGGAAAATCCAGACAATAATTTATACCACAAAGTAACCTTTAGGCACATTTACTGCCCACATTCGTACTACCGGAATGGTCCAAAAGCCTCACGTTTCAAGTTGTTCTAGACTGGCAGAGTACCTAGGTGCAAGACAGAAGCAATTACAAACCCTCTCTGGTTAGGCATCTTTATCCTAGCCCTGAAAAAATATTTCTCAAACAGTTTTTGAAGTGTAGTGAGCACCACAGGGTTAAAAATAACCAACTACACAAAAAAACATATAACCCTGAACAGGAACTAGTAGAAACAATAGTGAGGTGAAACAGATCCAGAAAGACTATTTGAGTCTATTAGAATTATAGGACAATTATACTTGCATGTAAAGAAATGAAAGAAAGTCTTGAAAATATCTGCAGGAAGCAGAAAGCTTTGGAAAAGAGTCAAAAGATTTTCTAGAATTAAAAATACAATATGGAAATAAAAAACTTAATGGATGGGTGGCTTAACTAGAAAATAGGTTAGAAGATATTATCCATCATGTAGGACAGGGGATTAAGAAGTTAAATAGGGAAGAAAGATTATGAGAAACAGAGAATGAAGTGAAAGGATCTAACATAGTTTTAGCTGAAGTTACAGAGTGAGAGTAGAACAAACATAGAGCAGAGGTGGTATTTGAAGAGAAAATGGCTAGTATATTTCAGAATTGATGAAAGACGCTAATCTACTTTTCAAGAAGCCAAAAGAAATCCCAAGAAGGATAAATAACTTTCAACTAGATACATCAAAAAGAAGCTTCAGATACCAGAGACAAAGAGAAAATCATAAAAATAGCCAGGGAAACAATAGAATACCTTCAAAGATGCAGTAGTTAGATTGACAGTTTACTTCTCAGTGGCAATAGTGGAAGTCCGTAGAGGGCTATCTTTAATGTCATGAAGGACAGTAACTGCCTCCCTGGGATTCTAAACCCAGTGGATATAGATATCCAGAAAGAGGGCTAATTTCAGTCAAAAGAGAGTTCACTATCAGCACACCTTACCTAAGAACTTTCTAAAGAATGTTCTTCAGGCAGAAGGAAAGTGATCCCATATGGTGAATCTGAAAAGCAGAAAGAACTGAAGAGCAAAGAAAGTGGTAAATATGTGACAAGACAAACCAAAAAAAGGAAGAAGGTAATGCTATATGTGTAATGGACAAAGAACTAGCATCCAGAATATATAAAGAATTCCCATCAAGCAGTGTGAAAAAGGCACAACCCAACAGAACAATAGTTTCTCAGACTTTTTGATCTCAGGACCCTATTACACTTAAAAATTATTAAGGACCTCAAAGAGCTTTGTTTGAATAATAGCTGTTGATAAATATTATAGATACTGTATTAGAAATGAAGACTGAGAAGTTTTAAAAAATGTTTATTAATCCATTTACAAGTAATAACCCATTTACAAAAATCTTTACGTGTTCTGGTAATTTGTTTCCTTATGAGTTTTCAGCTCTTTCCCTTAACCTACCTGCCTACAAATTTTAAAATGGGTAGTCATTATTATTGTTTTTTTATTCCTCTCTCCTACCCATGTTCTCTGTATCCTGTTCGGTATGGTTTCTGTCCCAAGCCCAAACTGGAATGCAGATTTGCTTTCAACTACTTCACACCCATTTCCTAGTTAGGACAGATTGCCAGAGCCCTGTGTCATTGTATAGGCCTTGTCAGAGCCAAGGGATGTTGCTTCGTTATACTGTAGCTAACGGAAGTCATTGTTTTGTGTGTCTGTGACATGTTTCTGGATAACAGCAGCAATAATGTCATCTGCTTTCTAGGCGGAGGAGAGGCAAAGAGAGGAGCAGCTTGTCTCATTTGATGGGTAAGGAATTATTCATACAACCTGCTGGCTGATTGAAATGGGATTCCATACTTGCTACTTACTTTTAATTTTCAAAATCAGTGAGAAAAAAGATGAAAAATAAAGGAGACCTCAAATGAGTAACTTATCTATCAAATAAAATAAAAAAGTCAAAACTATGGGCTTTTCCATGATCTTTGAATAATAATATCAAGGTGAATATAAAAAATTTCAAGAAACCCCTGATGTCTGTGTGTTGTGGGGAGAGATCTTGGCTTGCTAAGAATAAATAAGAACCCACAAATGTACAGATTAGGAGGTCTAAATTATTTAACTCTAATTTAGATTTAAATTCTTCAGAGCTCTTGGATGTCTGTTTACTCATCTCTAAAATGGAAGGAACTTATCCTTCTAGGAGTATTAGAAGAAAAAAGCGAACAATTTGTATTGAAAGACATCTCCTTTCTTAACTTCTCCAAACGTAATTAACTATTCCATATAAATTTATTCAGGGTATTAGTTCAGAACTTAAAGTGTTTTATCATAGATATGCATCTGTCTCCCCCTATACTATGAGCACCTCAAAGGTCTTGGGACTCTGTCTGTCTCAGTTTTTATCTCCAGCACATGGAAATTCTTTAAATATTATGAAGATGATTATAAGTTATGCATACTATTAGAAAAATGCTTAGTACTGGATTTTCATATATTTCATGTGTAATATATAGTATGCCTTTCTTCAAAATGTGGTACCTGAAAGGAAGAGTGATAACATTTCACTAGCTTTTTACTTTGGTTTTCTGTTAAGAGACATTTAACTCAAAGCATAACCTCAAGGAAATTCCTGAAAACCAAAAGATATGGTTCTTTTTGACTAACTGACTCACTGACAGGTCACTTAGGGTGCTCTTTTCCACCCATTCAGTACTCAAGATACCAACACAGAGTGCTCTGGAAGGGAACGGGCTGGTATACTTCATTGACTTCAGATCTCTGCCTGCTTTCTCTGTCTAGCAGGTCCTAGCAAGATCACAGATCTATTTTGTGTTCCCCTAAATGGAAACAGCAAGGAGTCCCATTCCTCATAATCCTGCTTCATCTCAGTTTTGCCCATGGAGTTTTCTACTGTGGAGAAAGTGTAATGAAAATATTAGAGGATCAACCGCAGAGCTGTGGGGTATGCTCACTTATAGGAAGAAAGATACAGAGTCAGAAAAGGAGGCCGAGACCCAAACAGGATAAGAGAAAATAGGCCAGAAAGGGATCACCGGAGTCGGGGGACAGAATGAAAAGGGATCATTGGAAAGAAGAAAGTTTTGGTGGAGGCAGGATAGGAGAAAGGATCAAATGGAACAGAGAAGAAAAGTGAATAAAAAACTGAAAAAAGGCCACGAGACTAAAAGCAACTAAAAGATCATAAACGATAGTACATAAGTATGAAAAAAATTCTGACAGTAGGCTGTATAGTCTGATGTATAGGACAGTACAGAAAAGATGGTTGATGGGGCTAAGATTAATTAGATGAAGAAAGAATTGAAAGGAAAATGGGTATTTAGCACAATAGGGGGAAGGGAATCAAGAAATTGTATTTGCAGATCTATTTTGTGTTCTTAATGATTCAAGATAATGGAAGGGAACAATAGATGCTGGCTGTTTTCTTGGTGTTACCAGCTCTTTGCATTTAGATATGAAGACTTTGTATTGCTGCCAGAGGAATCGGACCCCTGGTGATGTCTTTGGATAGGCTCTGCAGGTAGTGAGATGTAGATGTCTCATGCACGCCTTTGAGAGGAAGAATAATCCTGTGTGCTTGTCTTCCTGCAGCCATGAGGAGTGGAACCAGATGCAGAGCCAGGAGGATGAGGTAGCCATCACCGAGCAGGATCTGGAACATATTAAAGAGAGGGAAACAGCAATTCGGCAGCTGGAGGTGAGAGCCAGGTCATATGTTTTGTTTGACTCAGTGAATCTGCTTTCTGATCCATCTAGATTTTCTCTAAGTAATTATGTATCTGTTTGTGAAACAGCATGAAATGAATTGTGGGCTTTGTATGTCTTAATGTAACCATGGTGAACATGAACTACCCTTAATGATGGTACTTGCCATGGTGCCTAGGAATACCCAAATCCTTTCATCAGCCACCATATGTTACATAATATGTCTCAGAGAATATGCATGGAGAGTTGAGCAAGGCAAACAAATATTTTATTGCTCATTAAGGCTTTGCCGCCAAACCTCAGGTGCCAACTGCTAGGTTAGGGAGTAGAGCCCCTTTGCTTAGCCTGAATAGCCCAGAATAAAGACAGGCCAAAGGGATTGCTCCATATTGTGCATCCCAAAGTCCAGTGTCAGGTTGTGGGTATCAACCACAGCGGTTCATAGAAATAGGAAAAGTTTTCAAGTTCAGGGTTGAGGGAGAGGTCTTGAGACCTTTCGCTTAGTTTCCGACTTTAACTTTACATAGTGACCAGTAAAATATCCTTAAACTTGAGTAGCTTTCTCTTCCATGGGGGTAGATGGCTGCCATCCCTGGGGTGCAGTGGCAAAAGGAGAAACTTAGAGCTTCTTGACCTTTATCTGTGCAGTGGTTCTGAACCCTGACTGCACATTAAAAATCACTTGGAGATTTCTTTTTAAATGCCCTAGCTCTTGCCCCACTCCCCACCATCAATTATTAATTTGAACTATGTGAAATTCCTATTTTTTTATAGGCAGATATCCACAGGGGATGGATTTTTTTTTAAAACAATCTTCCCAGTGATTATAATGTGCAGTCGGGTTTGAGACCCACTGCCCTAGACCATCACTGTCTGTTTTTAAATGGACAGTTCATCCATGAGTTTGGTTATTTTATTAAACTTCAAAGATATCATATATTTTTGCTTTTTCTCTTATTGCAACTAGTCATCAGCTTGGTTCTCTAACATTAGAAATACTGTTATAGTAGGGAGTAGAGTGAGACATATGTACCTAAGGAAAGGAATGTAATGTAGTAGATGTCAGAAATGTAATGGGCACTTCACATTCAACAGAATTAAGTCCAAATTCCTTAGCTGGGGCTTGATGTACTTATCTAGTCATCTCCTACATGTAACATACAACCCCTATTCTAGTGAAAAAAAATATACTGCTGTGTGTTTCCTCTGCTTTTACACTGCACTTCTGACACTTCTGGCCACCAAATGTGTGGGGGTTTTTCACATCAAGCAATTCTGTGACACCAGTTGGGTGTCCTAGAATTTAACTTAATTCTGACACTGTCTACCTGGAGTTAATATCAGAGCCCACAGATTAAGGGTTCAGTCCCACAAGACTGTCTTTTTCAACCCCCCTCCCAGTCTTCAGTTGCAAGGCCAGGTCGTTACCTGTGCTTGTGTCTGACAGACTATAAATTGGAGATTTCCATGATCCCTTCCTTGGGTTCAGTTAATTTACTAGAGCAGCTCACAGAACTCAGGAAAACTTACAAGATTACCGGTTTATTATAAAAGGATACAACTCTGACAAATACGATATGATTTCATTTATCTGTGGAATATAAAAACAAAGCAAAACAGAATGAACAAAACAGCAGTAGACTCAGAGACACTAAGAAGTGACTAGTGGTTACAAGGGCGAGGGGTTAGGGTATAGGTGGGGAGTGTGAGGGGAATAAAAGGGCACAGTAATTTGCAATCACAATATAAGTTGGTTGTGGGGAAAATGGATATTTTTGACTAGGATTCCTGCCTGGCCTTAATAGTGCCCGTTGAATATACATAAAAGAGCCTATTTGCACATTTATGGGATGTTTACTAGCTACAGTCATGGGAGTACCTGCCCAGGGGAGGCAGAGGAAACACCCATTCTCTCCTGTTCCTGTGTTCCTGGTATGGAATTGGTCAGGCGTCCACCAGTCACCAGAAGCCCACACACAGAGTTCCTCCCAGTGTGAGGGGTGAGGAAGGAGGGTGTCAGAGAGAGTGGGGAGAGAGCTGTGGACCGGCGCTCCTGGAGGAATTAAGCCCGAGCAGGGAGCGGGGAGCTTGGCGCGCCACCGGGGAGGGCGGAGAGAGCAGCGCTGCTAGAGGATTAAGCTCCTGCTTGGGAGCAGAACCTGTTGCCGACCTGGGGAGCGCATTTCAGCCAGCCACGTGTACCAAGCGACCACTATGAGAATAAGTGTGGTGATCCTCTAATCCCCAACTCCTTGCCCTTGCCTTTATTTGGTATTGGATTTATAGAGAACTTGTCCAGGTGAGGAACCCCTTCCTCCCAGAGCTACAGTCAGTCACAAGGACCGTGTACAGCATGGAGAATATAGTCAATGATTCTGTATCTATGTTGACAGATAGTAACCACACTAGAGGGGGTGAGGATTTAATAGTATAGGTAACTACTGAACCACTGTGTTGTACATTTGAAACCAACATAAGATTGTATATCAGTGATACTTCAGTTAAAAAAAAAGATGCAACTTGGGAAGAGCCAGATAGAAAATGCACAGGAAAGTATGTGGGGAGGGATACGGAGCTTACATGCCCTTTACAGGTGCACCGCTGTCCCAGGACTTTCATATGTTCACCAACTCAGAAGCTCTTTGAATTTCATCCTTTAGGATTTTTATGGAGGCTTCATTACATAGACATGATTGATTAAATCATTGGCCATTGTTGATCCTACTACCCTTGAATACCAAGGTTGGTTCCCCTGGCAACCAGCCTCCTTCCTTGGGGCTTTCCAAAAGTCATGCATTAACATAAACTCAAGCAACGTTGAAAGGAGCTTGTTATGAATAACAAAAGATACCTTTATCTTTTCTATCACTTAGGAAATTCCAAGGGTTTTAGGAGCTCTGCAGAAAAGAGATGAAGACCATAAGCTTATGTTTCGTGCAATAAATCACAATATCACATCATCACATCTGTATTACAACCAAGCTGGGCTCCTTGCTCAGAACTTTCTGTTTATATGGCTTCTCTTTTGCTTTAAGGCCTGTAAGAATATAGTAATTTATCCTCCATTTGCCGCATGGTCCCAAGCACATAAGCCAGTTAGAATTATGCCTGGGTTTGCCTAGGGCTTGACTAGGCTTACCCCGCCTTATCTCTAAACATCCCGACCCTCCCCCAAAGCAACAGGCTGACCGTATCCGCCACAATAAAAGGCACCACGCTGCTGCCCTTTCTGTCTGTCTGTCTCTCTGCTGCCCTCTCCCTTTCTTTGTCTCTGTACCCCTGCTCTCCCTGCTCTCTCTCTCTCTGCTCTCTCTGTCCCACTGCTCTCCCTGCGCTCTCTCCCTCTCTCTCTCTCTCTCTGCTCTCTCTGCTCTCTCTGTCCCGCTGCTCTCTCTGATGCTCTTCCCCCATCTCTCCCCACCCCCCTTTGGGGGAGCCATTCCCTCCTTCAGATAAAGTCTCTCGCGTGGGCCCGTGTCTCCTGAGTCGTTCTGGGTAAGGAGGGTCGCGGCGAGATACCCTTTCAAGGCCTACTTCTGCTGTCTTCCTGTGCATGCCTTTCTATACCATTGAGGTGTCACTTCCTATATAATGCCCTTTCTTATTGATCTTATTGTGTACTGATCCCTCACCCCCACCCTGTTAGCTAGTAAGCCTTTTGTATCCACAGCAACTAGCAAACTGTCCCAACTATAGTAGACTCTCAGCACGTAACTAAGGTGCTGCCAAGAACTAGTCTTGCCAAGTTATGATTGGGAAGTCATTGCTTTTAAGGCATGTTTTTTATTGTAGCATTCTGAGGGGCAGTGTTTTGCAACTGCAAGAGCATGGGCTTTAGAGAGAGAATCCCAGCTGCAGTGCTTAGTTTCCTCACTGATGAGCTACGTGACTAGACAAATTATATAACCTCTCAGAATCTCATTATCCTCAAAGATACTTATTTACATCATAAAGCTGCTGAATGATTAAATATCAAGGAGGCATAGTAACATAATAAGAACTTCATGAACTTCTAATTCTCAGCTCTGCCAGTTGCTAAATATGAGACTTTGGGACAAGTCATTAAGCTTCTCTGAGCCCCATTTTTTCTCTTTTCTAAAATGGGGATAATACATGTCTCTTCGGGTTGTCAAGAGGACCAATTAAATTAAGTAGTAGTTCATAGTAGCTAATACTTAGGAAGTGCTTATTTCACAGCTATAAGAACTTTCAATATATTAGTTTATTTAGTACTTCTGAAAACCCTACGGGATGGGTATTGTCATTGTTCACATTTTAGAGGGGAGGGTCCAGAGACGTTCATCTCAAGATGGTTGGATTAACTAAACTCAGCACGACTGGGTCCTCTGTAGCTGACAGCCTGATGAGGAGCCTGTGCTGCTGCTTTTTGGATATTTTTATTAGAATAAATTTGACATAGTATATTGGTTTCATAGTATATTGGCTTGGCACATAGTAGGAATTTAGTAAGTGTTAATTAACCTTATTTTCATTTTCAGTTTATGGAGAAAGCATGATTTATAAGCCTTAAAAACCCATGTGTTATGTTAATATTCCAAACTCCAGTTAAGTAGAGTCTTCTAACATGTTGCTTAGTGTTAGTTAATTGTTTTGGTTTTGTTTCTGTTCCTTAGGCTGACATTTTGGATGTCAATCAGATATTTAAAGATTTGGCCATGATGATCCATGACCAAGGTGATCTGATTGGTATGTATTATTGATACCTTTAGCCTCAAGGTGAGTTGATAGTATCTGTGCACAAAGAAGTCAGTAGGAATTTAGGAATGCCATTTAAGAAATTATTATATTCGTTTTCTTAGCACTTTTTTAATGTTAAATATAGAAGTTGAAGTGAGGCCTCCATGAGTACTCCATTCAGCTCCCTTCAGTTGCTTTGCCATAGCCTGTTGTTAAGTCTTTGTTTAAGGAAATAGACATCTGCTTTTACCTCCAGAAACTTGCACAATTGTAGGATTTGTAACTCTTTGTTTAAGCTTTTTATTTAGAAATAATTTCAAATTTAGAAAAAGTTGCAAAAATAAAAATACAAGGAATTGTTTTATAACTTTTACCTAGATTTACCTCTTAACATTCTACCCCAGTTGCTTTAATGTTTGCTCTCCTTCTCTCTTTCTCCATAATATGTATATACATAATATTTTATGAACCATTTGTGGGTGAGTTGCATACTTGATAACCCTTTACCCCTAAATACTTCAGTGTCTTTTCCCAAAGAATAGAGATATTCTCTTAGTAACTTTTGATTTCATGGCTGACTAGTTGGAATGGTGGTGGTGAAACCAGGACCAATAACATCAGAAGTCGGCTCAATTTGCAGTCTTGAAACATTTGAATGTGGTAAAACATCCAGTGCTCTCCTTTTTTGCAGATAGCATAGAAGCCAATGTGGAAAGCTCAGAGGTGCATGTAGAACGAGCCACTGATCAGTTACAGAGGGCTGCTTACTATCAGGTAAAAGCAGGTATCAAAGAAGATCACTATGTGCTGCAGATATTATGGACCATCAGAGTACACTTGACACATTGAGAACAGCTGCAGCCTTTTGCTTTGGCTTAAGCTAGAGGCAGTACTCATAACTGGAGTCCCAGTTCCATTTTTAGTATTTTTCTTTGCAGGGAGATCGCCAAAAGGGCATTAAATCTTAAATAAACCTATAAGAGCCCCTAGCTATAAATCTAACCCCATGAGCTAGCATGATACCTAAATCTCGTATAATACTGATTTTATAGTCTAAACAGCTGAAATTTATTTCAACTAGGATAGGAATGGGTACAAAGTAGGACTGCAGATATTTTATGTTGACATATTTTAGGATTGACATAGAATCAGTTCTAACTATTAATAAATAGGGGTTTATCATTTTGGGGTTATTTATCTATGAAAAATGGGTTAATCATTCTACTTCTGTAGAGTGGTATTTTTCTGTGTAAAAGCTGAAACTGGTTTTTGTGACTTTTATCTGGGTTTTTATCTTCAGTGTACAAATATAGTGAATGAGGTTCTCATTTCCTCTCAGTTTGGTGTTGCATAGCTTTTCAGAAATAAAGAGCATTTCAGTTATTTTCCATAGGATAGCTGTTCCTAGAATAGCTATGTTTTACCCAGGAATGTTCTTAAAGAAATTTATTAAATTTAATAGTAATGTTTCTTTTTAAAAACTGAGCAATGACTTTAGTGTTCAACAGTAAAGGAATAATTAAATAAATTACATATTGCCACTCCATGTTACATGGGAATTAAAAGAGACATTTAGGAAGAGTGTATAATAACAAAATTTTGTATGCTAAAATGTTAACAGAAAAACATCAAATACCATACAGTATTATCCCAATTGTGTCAAACTGCAATATGCATAGGTAAAAGATCAGAAGGAAATACAATATAAATGTCAACATTTTTATCTGTGGGTGATTATTTTATTTTTGCTTATCTGTATTTTTTATAGTGAACGTAAAATTTTATAATATGTTTAATAAAACCTTTATTAAAATACTCATGCAGAAATAACTTACTTTATTATAATGCCTAACAGCATAGGTATAAAGGGTGCCTTTGCAAAAAATGTATTTGGGGACCTGAAATTTTGCACTACTGTCTCGCATTGCTAACTGTGGAGATTTAGGGGAGGTCTTTGCATATTCATGTATGGATAGAGTTAATTTTGAATTACAGGAAGGCAGATTTATGAAGCACTCTTGGAGTCTTAGATATGAAAAGTTATACTTATTTCACGAGTGTCTTTTTTACATATTTTTCTCCTCAGAAAAAGTCTCGCAAGAAGATCTGTATCCTGGTGCTTGTCCTGTCAGTGATTATTGTAATCTTGGGACTTATTATCTGGCAAGTTAGTAAATGAAGTGACAGCCTCAGAACCTTCTCCTGCTGACCTGTTTTCAAGGGCAACTGCTTGTTAAAGTCTTGCCAGAACAAACTGATCTCAAGAAGAAAGCATACACCAGAACATCCTATGATAATTTAGTTAGAAGCTAACTACTAACTAGTCCTTGGAATTAGTGACTGTGGAGACAGTATCAATTTATGTATACATTTTATTGATTTCTCACATTAGGAATCAATTCATGTGGATTTTGCTTTCTCTTGTATTCTAATCACCTTTCATCCCAAGTATTTACTGAAAATTCCATTTTAGATATTGTTTTGACAGGTGACACTACAGTCTTGTAATACTGTCTTTTTACGTGTATACAAGATTTACCTTTTTATTGGCAACTGAGGTAGAATTATTTTCTGGAACCCAGCATATTGGAGTTGGTCAGGTACTATATAACAAGCCAGCACTTTGTATTATTTGACATTTTTAATTTGAATTTCTGAGAAGTCTGTTCTCTATCTGCTTTGAAAGATTTTGGCCATGTAACTAGAAAGTAAAAAATTGCACATGTGATCCAGATTAAAATTATCTATTTGAGCTGGCCAGTTGTTGGGGTACATGTTAATATGGGTTTAAAGCTTATTATCTGTTAGTGCTGTCCACAACAGCTCATCCACACTAAACCATCTCGTTCACTTTTTGAAGAGGTTAATTTAATTAACATTATTATATTATGTGGGGGTCCCTCTTCCCCTGTCTGTATAGAAAAGGAGAATTAGACAAAGCATGCTTTTGGAAAGTGAATAGAAATTGTTTGGAATGATTTAATCTTTTTGTTGTTGTTCACTTGTGGTTCTACATTCCTGGTGAATAATGAATGTTGCTGTCAAAAGGCTACTACCCCCCAACCCTATAAGGGTTGGTGGGCATTTGATGTCAGGAAGATTTTAAAAGCTAGACTGAAGTTGATTTAAGATTTAGTCCTGTGAACCTGGTAATAAAGCAAAGAAAAGGTTCATTTTTATAAATAATACTGGTTTGGAATAGTGGTGTCAGACTTACCCTAATTTATGAACAAGAGATTTAATCTCTCCATGAATAGTTTTAGACAAAAAATGTTTCAATAAAAGATTGCTGTCTTGTAATATGAATGTTGTCCTCTTCCCTTTTTCAGAGGTCTAGAGCAGCTAAAGGAATATAATTTCTTTAGGCTTTCACACAAATGTGAATTTCAGTTCAACAATTTCAGTTCATCCTTCAGTGAGTTAGAGGATTTGGCTATCCTGGATATATTTATATTCATTTCTTCCACTCCCTTCAGTGTTACTTAATCTTCTTTAAACTAATGTGAATAGTTGGTAAACAAGGGCCCAATGCATACGTTTCTTTGCACTCTTTCACAAATAAACATCTTAAAAACTTTTTTAGTAAATTTTTATGAGTTAAATCCTAATGCAGTAGATATTAGATAATGTGCTATCCAGAGAAAAACAGAACTGTAAGAAAATCAGGTGAGGATTAGTTTGGGGGTGGCTTAGGTGCTGCTTTCCATTCCTCGAAAAAGGATGGAGCTATTGGGGTGTCACAGGGGCTCACGCAGTAGTTTCAGAGCCAGTTCCTTGATTCTACAATCACTGCTCCTTCAGCTGCAAATTACAGCTACACTTGGATATATCATTTATAACATTACAGCAAGAAAAAAGTTGATTGTGAAAAGCGATTTCAGTTTAGAGAAAATGAATCTACCGTAGTTCTATTCTGTAATACTTTGTAATCCAGTGGTAGTGGTAGTAGTGGTCATGGGTAGCAAATACGAATTTGGCCTGCAGTTTGTCATAGTTGCCAAGAGGTTCTGCTAGATGGTCTGAATAAACCTGTTCACAGAATCCTTCTCTTTGCTCTGTTCATCATTTTGGGAAAACCATAGGCTAGCACAGTGGTTCGTAACCAGGGTTTCACATTAAAAACTTCAAAAATACTTAAACCTAGGTGCCTGTGTTACAGGGTTCTAACTTAGTTAGTTTGGAGTATATCCTGAACATGGACACTTATAAAAGCTCCAGATAATTCTCATGTGTAACCATAGTTGAGAATCATTGGTTTGGAGGTCAAAAACTAGAGAGTGGTAGAGAAGGCATGAATAATTTTATCTCTGCTATTAACTTGCTATAGGTATTTGACAAGTCATTCAACCCATAGGCCCCAAATTTTCTCAATAGCTCTTTTCTAGCTATAAAATTCTGTGATTATATGGACCACAGGGGTTTGGTCTGAACATAGAAATTCTATGTTTGTCTCTGTATTCCTCTCCTTTTCTCCTCCCCCTTTCTCCTTTATGGAATGTTCCAGAAATACTGGGCAGATCTAGCATTCTCCAAGTGAGTTAAAACTGTAGTACTAGGTAAAGTAGAAATGTCACACTGGCAACTTCACCCGGGGATGTTCTAGAATGAAAACTTGTTAGCTGCTAGAGTGATGCTCCCAGAGCAGGTTTGTTTTATTTTGCTAAAAGGTGGTGATACACTGCCTTGTACCATTGGGTAAAATCAAATTGAAATTACTGTTGTATCAGTGCAAAGTAAAATGCCCTGAACTTCCACCATTTTTTTTAAATTGAAGAATAACTGATGAAATATTATATTAGTTTCAGGTATATAACATAGTGATTCGATGTTTATATACATTATAAAATTATCACCACAATAAGTCTACTCACCATCTGTCACCATACAAAGTGTTTACTATATTCCCTATGCTGTACATTACATCCCCGTGTTTTGTTTATTTTATAACTGGAAGATTATACTTCTTAATCCCCTTCACCTGTTTCATCCATCCCTTACCCCTCTCCCCTCTGGCAACCAACAGTTTGTTTTGTTTATGAGTCTGTTTCTGTTTTGTTTGTTCATTTGTTTTTTAGATTCCATATGTAGGTGAAGTCATGATATTTATCTTTCTCTGACTTGTTTCACTTAGCATAATACCCTCTAGGTCTATCCATGTTGTCACAAAAGGCAAGATTCCAATCTTTTTTTTTTGGCTAACTAATATTCTATCACACACACATCTTTATCCATTCATCTAGTCACTGATGGACACTGGTTGCTTCCATAGTTTGGCTATTGTAAATAATGCTGCAAAGGACATAGGGGTGCACAGATTTTTTGAACCAGTGTTTTCAATTTCTTAGGATAAATTCTAGAAATGGAATTACTGGATCATATGGAGTTTCTATTTTTAATTTTTTAAGGAACCTCCATACTCTCCATAATGGCTGCACCAATTTACATTCCCACCAACTTTGTAGGAGTGTTCCTTTTTCTTCACATCCTCACCAATACTTGTTATTTCTTGTCTTTTTGATATTAACCATTCTGACAGGTGTGAGGTGATACCTCATTGTGGTTTTGATTTGCATTTTCCTGTTAATGATGTTGAGCATCTTTTCATCTGTTTGTTGGCTGTCTGTATGTCTTCTTTAGAAAATGTCTATTTAGGTTCTCTGCTCATATTTTAATTGGATTTTTTTTAAAATAATGAGTTGTAGGAATTCTTGTATATTTTGGATGTTAGCCCCTTATTGGATATATCATTTACAAATATCTTCTCCCATTTGGTAGGTTGCCTTTTCATTTTGTCAATAGTTTCGTTTGCTGTGCAAAAAGCTTTTAAATTTGATATAGTTCTATTTGTTTATTTTTACTTTTGTTGTCCTTGCCTGAAGAGACAGATCCAAAAAATATTACTAAGACCAATGTCAAAGAGCCTTACTGCCTGTTTTTTCCTCTACAAGTTTTATGCTTTCATGTCTTACATTTAAGTCTTTAATCCATTTTGAGTTTATTTTTGTACATAGTATAAGAAAGAGGGGTCCAGTTTCATTCTTTGTGTATAACTTTCCATTTTCCTGCCACCATCAATTGAAGAGACTGTCTTTTTCACATTCTATATTCTTGCCTCCTTTGTTGTAATTAATTGATGGTGCAAGAGTGGGTTTATTTCTGGTCTCTCTGTTTTTCTATTCCTGTGCCAGTACTATAATGTTTTGATTCTGTAACTTTGTTGTATAGTTTGAAATCTGGGCATATGACACCTCCAACTTTGTTCTTTCTCAAGACTCCATTTTTTCCCCCTGTAGCCCCAGAGGCTGTCTTTACTCATGAGAATGAAACTTTTGCTTCTGGTCACTACATGCAAACCAGAACCCAACTCAGATTTCAGTCTATATTGTTTCCTAGAGCTAGGAATCACCTGCTTCCTCACTGCTTTTCTAAATATGTTAAGTGTATCCCTAGATTTCAAAGGATTTTTCAGTATTGCTTTCTGTGCTATGAAATACAACTACTTTAAACTCTCTGTTTTAACTATGAAATGGTTTGAAAGGTTTTGATTCCAATCCTACTTTCAGGCCAACTAAAGTAATTCATTTTACTGCTTAACTGAAATGATATTTGATTGACAATGTTGCACTTAATTTTCAAAGGATAAACTTGAAACGATAGAATTTGTAATGTTAGATTGTGATCAAGGACCAAGTTTTTACCAGTCCATGGACAAATGAGAAAAATGATGTAGTGAGTCTGAACTAATGACCTTCCAACTTTAAAAAAAAGATATTTCAAGATTATAAAAATGAAAAGGTGGTGTTAGATGGCAGTCTGCATTTTTAAATCTCCTTAGTTGGCAATATAAAAGTTGATGTTCCTATATTACTTCTGTTTTTCCTGGCCCATGACATCTCTAGAGTCTGTGAACGCTCATCTAGACTAGACCCATCATTTAATAACTGAGGAAGCTGAGGCCAGGAATGGCAATCTAATACAGGATTAAAGGTTTGAGGAAGTGCTGTGCATGCAAATAGTATTTATTCATAGGGTAATATTTGAGCCCTTACTACCAGTAATTTACTATGCTACATGTTAAATGTTTCACATTTTACATTTATAATTTTATAGCCACAGAACCACCTAGGAGATGTCTTTTTCTTGTCTCCATGTTTTATACAGTAGTAAACTGAGGCATAGTAAGTAACCTGCCCATAGACACATGATTTAGGAGTGGTGGAGCAAGGATTTGATTCTCAAGCACTCAGACTTAAATACCACACATCTTTAAGACACTGTACACTGTCTCCATGCATCACTGATAAAAACTATCCTGCTTACCACCTCTTTCACGAAGCTTTCTCTAAAACTGGAGTAGAGGCAGTTTCTACCCAATGTTTCAAGAACATCCTCTGTCAGCACCTTGTGAATTTTCCATTTCACCACCCTGCTTACATGAAGCCTCCTGCTTTAGCTGTCTATACACAATCACATTTTTTTCAGTACCTCCATTTTGATCACTCATATATCAAAGATGTTTGAAGAAAGTTTTCTGACATCAATATGCTCCTAATGTCTTTAGATTCTATTCTAAGGAAGTCTTAAAGTCTAAGAAATTAATCTTTATAGAGATAGCAAAATCCAAAGGCAGCTAGCCCATCAGTCTTTCCATCAGAACAGGTTAAGGGTCTAGACTGCTGTCCTCCAGTTTGCTGATCTATACTGACATCATTGGTGCCCAAAGAGCATTTTGCTTTATAAGGCCTAGGTAGGTGTAAGGTGTCATTACATCAGAGGCTAGTGTGAATTTCAGCTGTGCTAGAAACAGGGAACATGGCTAAGGAGTAAACAATTATAAGGGTAAGAATATAGCTTTAGGTTTCTTGAGTGCATAGTCAGCACTTTAGAAAAGATTAAATAGTGGACCAGACAGAAGCTGAGAAATTGAAAGGCAAAGTTAACAAAATGTTACCAGGTTATTGACAGCTAGAAATGGCTTCAACACCATCTTATGCCTGAAAAAGGGTATGGAACCTCAAAGGCATACATAATTTATGTACATAAAAAGTATTTTGTTCTTTTCTGTTACAATCAAAACACTTTTGAGACTAATTCTGTCTCAAGACCCATGTCCTTGTGTTCAAAGTGGGGAGCACATGGCCTGCTTTCTCGAAACTAAGTTTAGAATTTGTATTTTTTCCATCAGTCTAGTCATTCTTTGGATCACAAGGCTGAAAAGGATATTAACAAGTCATCTGATAAGTGATCTGATGAGCAGTTAGCATCCTTCTTGGAATGAGTTTATTGTGCTTTTGAGGGCCAGAGGAAAATGTGATTCCCCTACCTGCCTAAGAGTTGATTCAAAAATCCAAGTTAGCATTATGGTGCAGTTAAATCTTGATGCCTGGAGATGTCACCAAGGGCAAAGTCTTTTGAACAGGCTGATGATCAATTTAATGTCTCCACGACTGTTAGCAGGGAGTCAAGAAAAGAAATAACTTCATCATAGAGATAAATTGCTGTGCAGTGCCTCTTTCTGGGTGAACAATACCTTTGCAATTGGTTTCTTTAAAAAAGATAATCTGTATTTTCTACAAAAATGAAAATGTGTTGGGTATCAATTGCATGTTGATAATAAATATGATTGTAACAACATCTAATAAGTGTGATAGACGGTGGTGATTACGGAGCATGGCCTTTGGCATCAGATTTAGGTTTGAATTCCATGCACCATTTGTTCTAGGTGAGGCTGGGCATGTCTGTCTCTGCATCTCCCCTTGGGGATCAAAATAATACATCTCAAGAATGTTGTTAAGCTTAAATGAGACGATCCTTACAAAATACATACTTGCCCAGATAAGTAAGCACTCAATAGACAGAGGCCCTGCAGATGGTCACTCAGACAGCTGCTGGCCTAGGGCAGGCCTGAGTTCTAACGTTTCTTTGCACCTTCTAGTCACTATGACCAAAATTAAAAAATCCAGAGGCCACGATTTAACCATTTCATTCATACACACCTAAGATTTGGACGCCTGCCTTGTGATTGGGTCTGCCCTTTGTTCCAGTTTGTGCAGTTTTCATAAACACACTAGATGATTCCCCTGAAGCAGTTTCCTGATAATCTACAGAAACCCTCAAGGCTCGGATTTGGATTAGGAAGGGTTAGTGAGTAAGGGTGCATGCAGCTCTGCGGAGAAGGGCCAGAGGAGAGACAGAATGAGTGATCAACTCGGAGCTGCCCTCTAGCTTCTCTCCAGGTTGGGGTCGAGGGCTGACAGTGCGAGCCCAGTGCACGGATGGAATTGGAAGGTTTTAGAGCCCAGGAGCGTGTTTGCAGGAGGGCAAGCGGGAGACCGATGATCCGCCTGACAAGCCCATTTTCCTCAGACACCTTCCAGCCAAAGAAATCCCAGTATCTGGAGACACTTCCACAGAACGCCAACTGTCTCAAACACTGAAGTAAACCCCAACGGATCCACCGCCACTAGAAGTGCACAGGGCCTGCGTGCGTATGCGTGTGAATGCGCGCGCGTACGCACAGGCTGCTGGGATGCCACCCCTTCCCTCCGGGGCTTCCAGTTTCCCGGCGTGCTTCGGGCGCGCCAAATGGGAGGGGGAGACGCAAGATGGCGGCAGCCGCGAACTCCGGCTCCAGCCTCCCGCTGTTCGACTGCCCGACCTGGTGAGTGGTGAGGCGACCAGGGCTGGAGTGGCTTGGCCTAGGCTGGCCTGCGCTGGTAGGGCGGCTCATTTCTCGCAGCTAGCCGAACAGCTCAGATACCCTGGGACTGACTAGAGGAGAATTGTCCGTCGGGCCGGGCGGCGTGTGAAGTAGGAAGCCTGGAGCCCGGGCCCAGGAACTGAGGAAACCCAGAGTTGGGGGTCCGAGGCATTCGCTTAGTCAGTTCCTTGGGCGATCGGCCGGTTGCCGGGGCTCTTCGGGGCCTTTGTCCCGAACTTACCCAACTCCTGACTGAGTGCTTGGTGCTACTAAGGAGCACGGTGCCTGCCCCCCTACTCTGTGTCCCGAGCGCTCACGAGCCAGCGTCCCCACCTCAGCCCAAGCTCAGAGCCCCGCGTCCCAGTCTTTGCTGCACCCCGCCACGTGAGGTACTTGTCTGTTTCCCTCAGACTGGGAGCCCTCTGAGGGAAGGGACGGATCTCACCTACCCTTTGGTTCTCAGCGACCTGTTCAAAGCTGGGTACAAGTGAGCATCAGTAATTGTTGGAATAAACCCCTACTAACCCATCGCGCGTTCTTAGGAATAATGGAATAATTTAATTTAATCTTTGAGTAGGGTACAAGATGAATAACTATGAATTGCCTTGCAAGAAGATCCATCCGAGTTAGGGCTGTTTCTGCTGTAGCTCATCACAGTATTTGTTATTCGTCTCTGTCTCTCGTTATATTGAGATTCTCAAGGGCGAGGGCTATTTCATCTTTATATTCCCAGCCGCTGTGCTGTAGTAGGAGTTCAGAAAGCATGTTTCGGATGTAACATTCCTTTCCCTGTTTCCTGGGCAAAATGGACTTTCATCCAGTGCACTGTACTTCTCAGCAACTGCAGTAGAGGAGTTGGGCAGGATTGTGAACTGACTGTTACATCTTTGATTAGATGAATGAGGATGCATTTTTGTGTGTGTGCAAAATGTAGGTAAGGGCTCCAACAAGATTGTTCATCAAACTTCAAAGGAGCAAACACAGGAAACAAGTACTTGTGTGGCTCTTCTCTGGGTCCCTTTGCACTTTGGTAACACCCAGTTGCTTCAGTCGACAAATACTATGTCCATTATGGTCCCTTGCTGTATTGATTTCAGAAGTTGGATCAGGGCAGTTAACTTATGGTTAGAAGAGACTGAAATCACCATTTCCTCAGAGACAGGTATGTACTACTTGGAGCTTTGACATATGTGTATCACCCTTAAATGGTGTGGTTATAGGAGTAAAAAGTTCCCTTAAGCATGCCATTGTAGAAAGACTTGTTCAGTGGTAACCAGTGTTTTTTGTATTTATTGGTACTCGGGCATGATTTTGGATTTCCTTATCTCCCAAATTACATACCTCTGATTTGGTCTCAGAGCTCAGGACAGTACCCTCTTCTTATTCTGTGATGAGACTAAACTGAATTAGTCCACAACACCAGCTGATTTGCTCTATCTTTGTATGGTATTAGTGGTAGTGGCAAATCTTAAATTCAAGCTCCAAGTGACCAGACTACTCCACTTGTAGTACTTGGACTCTGTGCTGCTTTCTCTCTGAGGTAGATATCAAGTGCTAAAATATAGGTTTCCTTGGTGCTGCTCTAAATACAGATCCACTAAAATCTGTTTTAGAGCGATTGAATCACTAAGGAAGTGTCAAATGTAGAAAGGAGTCGTAATAATAGTGAAGTAGATGACATTTCTGCTTGAACATGAACTAATTATAGGCTAGTAGGAGAGCTGCAATGTTGAATGGGACAGTAATTATAAATGGCATTTATGAACATTCTGAAAATGCCTTTTTCACTCTTATTTTTTAGGGCAGGTAAACCCCCACCTGGTTTACATCTGGATGTAGTCAAAGGAGACAAACTAATTGAGGTATGGAAATACATATCTTCCCCCTTTTCCCCCACTACACTAAACATTTTTGCAAGTGACTCACTTTTCCACCCCCTCTCCTGTGCTTGTTTTCCAGAAATGCTACTGTCATTCACCCTGGGTTTTTTTTCCTACTCAAAGCACATGGTGATATAACACATTCAAACCTCATGTCTCCCACAGACACTCAGTTTTTTAAGATTTCCCTCACCTTCCAAATGAAGGAGTTTAATAGGTTGTTGTCCTGGGCCCCAATTAAACTGGAATCCCTTTAACTTGGTGAATTCTCTCTCTCTGAGTATATGAAGTTGTGTGGAATGAAGAAAGTGAACGATGTAGATTGAGTTTAACTTTTAAGCTGCTTTTATCAGGTTCAGGCCCAGGCCCTTCAAAGAAGTATAGTAAACTGAGATGCTTGCTCAAAATAGAGAGTGGAATAATGATGAAATTCATTCATTCAAAACATTTATGGAGTGCTTACTATGTGCCAGTCATTGTGCTCAGCATAGGGACTACAAGAGTCAACAGAACGAATAAGGTTTCTATCCTCAAAGAAATTGAGATGATGGGAAATACACAATCACACACACAAAAATTATATAATTATAACTGGAATAAGTATTATAAAGGAAAAGTTTAGCAGAATTCCAGCTTTTATACAAGTCTCTAGAATGAACACCATGTAGAAATTCAAGAGAACATAAATTTTGATTAGCTATTAGGCTGTTTAAGGTTTTTTTCAATCCTTATGGTACCATTTAGTTACCAAGAAATGGAGATTAAGCCCACTGTGACCACAGAGTTGTGAGTCCCCATGTCATAGACCGATTCTATGTTTGCTTGCTCTGGTAAAATTTAGGTTCAGGGCCCCATTATTTAGTGCAGTCATTTTTCTTTGGTGTATATGTAAAGTAAAAACATGGCATTTCATGATTGTAAAACTATCTGTGAGATCTTCTGAGGGATTTTCTATAAATATATGTTGTCACTTTCAGGATATTGTAGAGATACCCAGGTATTTTGCAAAGATTTAAGATGTGAGTTGTGATGAATTCTGTTATCAAGTCATCATACCCTTAGCCAGTTGCTTAGAGCCCCTTTGTCATAGGTTCTTCTGTCTTAAAGGTCCACAAAACATCAAGATCTTTCAAGGAAATGATTTAGCCAAAATGACTAAAAATTTTTTTACTGTAGACTATTACACAGATACAAAATTTTGTGACTAAATAGCTTGAAGACATATAGGAATCTATTTTGTTAACTAGAATTGAGTAAATTTTTAGTTGGCAACAGGAAGAAGCAGACGAGGCCTAGTCTTAATGAGAATATCATGTTCCTTTGTGAAATAATTTATATCTTCAAAGCACCCTAACTTCACAAACATCCCTCTGATTATTGGTTTCCATTAACTGATACTATTCTCTACCTTTCTTTGCTCTTAGGTGTGCTGAGTTGCCAAACGATTGTCGAGTTACAATCCTTAGACATCATTGTATTGTCTCTGAGAGGAATAGACCTGAGATATGTTTATTTTTTAAGAATTTAGGCAGCACTTGATACTAACCGAGCTATCTGTGTCCTTGCCTTGTGACAAAGGCTAGTGATGTGTTGTGATAGCTGGGTTTAAGAAGTGCAACATTAAAACAAAAGCCATGAGTCTTTTAAGCCCGGTGTGTAAAGATACACTCTGAGTTATAACTCAGAGGCACAACTGGATAGTGGTACTAGCCTCAGCTGGTCAGGAAATTGTGGCTTTAGTGACTATTGAAAGAGCAGTGCATTATTTTATTCACTTGGACAGAAGCAGCACGTTGTCTTAAGAATTAACCCATCCTTGATTCTAAGACATACTGCTTTCCCTCTATATTTTAACATTTTTGTAATTGAGATGCCCTTAATAATGAATACATATTTAATTTGGAGGCCTTTTGTCTTTTTTCTCCTCTAAACACCTAAATCTGTGGTATGTCTTTGGCACCTTAGGGTCACAGAAATTTGGTCAGTGTTAGAACCCAAGAGCAGGTGAGGTCATCTTACATGTTTCCTTGAGACCAGCCTGTGAGCACTGTGGTTAGCAAATTTAAGTTTGTGAAGACATAATCTGCTGCATGTAAATATGAATGAGAAATTCAATGAGATTTAGTCTACATGGATATTACCTAGACAAGCAAGGTATTGAAATTTCAGGGCTCTCTCATTTCTAATGCAATGTCTTACTTTTAACCCAGGTCTTGAAACTTGGGTGTATACAGACATGGGTTTGGTTGTCTGATTGAGCTGTCAAGCTGTTGGTGCTCCACAGCAGCATGGGCCTGGGACAAGCTCTGCCAATAGCAGAGGGGCACTGCTGAACAATTTCCCAGAGGTGACCCACATATGTAGCTAGTTTGAACCGATTGAGCCTTGCTAAACTTGAAAGAAACTGAGTGATTATTTAAAGAAAAATTGAGGATGTGACCCGTCGTACTTGTTCATTCCTTAAAATGTTCCTTGCCATATGGTGTTTTTTTGATGCAGGTGGAGTGAAGAAAATACGTAATGCAGGGGCTAAAAGAGTTTAGACTCTGAAGTCAGGCAGACCTGAATTTCTAATCCAGTTTACAAAAATAAAGTAGTCCCCCCTTATCCACGGTTTTGCTTTTCAAGTTTCAGTTACCTGTGGTCAACTGGGTGACCCGCCTTCTGACATACTGTCAGGTCAGCAGTAGCCTAATGCTACATCACAAGGCCAGTGTCATTCAGCTCACTTCATCTCATCACGTGGGCATTTTATCATTTCACATCATCACAAGAAGGATGAGTACACTACAGTAAGATATTTTGAGAAATCACATTCACATAACTTTCATTGCAGTATAGTTATACTTGTTCTATTTTATTATTAGTTATTGTTAATCTATTACTATGTCTAATTTATAAATTAAACTTTATCATAGGTAGTATATATCGGAAAAAGCAGTGTGTGTATACACACACACATACATATACCTATAAATATACACACGTGTGTGTGTGTGTAAAAAAGGGTTCATATCCATAGTTTCAGGCATCCACTGGGGGTCGTGTAATGTATCTCCTGCAGACAAGGGGCTACTACTATATTCAGCTGTGTGAATTTAAATGTGTTAATTCTTAATGCTTCAATTTTGTCATCTATAAAAATTAGGAACCTCACAGAGCCGGTGTGAGAATGAAATGATGTAGCCTAAGACTGACTGTATGGTGTGTAGCACGAGTGCTCAGCAGTCGTCATTATTGTTAGTGCATGAGGTATATTTCTGGTGTCTTCAGGGCTGCATTAAAGCATAGGGGAGGGGAGCATAGTAGCCCTGTGGGTTCAGTGACATAGCGAGGAACGAAATAAGAACTTCTTGAGTCTTAGCCTGGTACCATACAAACGATTATATTTCTCTTCTCAGCTTTGTACTCTTCTCTCAGGGGTTTTAGGAGTATAGTGTGAAATGTGAACCTAGAGCTTAAGGAGACCTTGTATTTAGAGGAAAACCACAACATATTCAAATGAGGGTTATTCTTCAAAATGGTCAAATTGTAGACTTTCAGAACTGGAAGGAGTGTTGGCAGTAATTCATCTGTGACAGCCCAGTCTGTAACCAGTCCGGGGCAGAGGCTTAAGAGAAAAAAGTAAGGATAGTTAGTGAGTTTTCCATAAAGCAAAATTCGGCTCAAAGCATACTTATTTGCTGTTAAAATGCCCTTTCTCTGCTGGTGGGAATGTAAGCTAGTTCAGCCATTGTGAAAAGCAATATGGAGGTTCCTCAAAAAACTAAAAATAGAAATACCATTTGACCCCAGAGTCCCACTCCTTGGAATATACCCAAAGAATACAACTTCTCAGATTCAAAAAGACATATGCACCCCTATGTTTATTGCAGCACTATTTACAATAGCCAAGATATGAAAGCAACCTGTGTCCATCTGTAGATGAATGGATAAAGAAGAGGTGGTACATATACACAATGGAATATTATTCAGCCATAAGAAAGAAAGAAATCCTACCATTTGCAACAACATAGAAGGAGCTGCAGGACATAGTGCTCAGTGAAATAAGCCAGGCGGAGAAAGACAAATGCCAAATGATTTCCCTCATTTGTGGAGTATATCAATGAAGCAAAACTGAAGGAACAAACTAGCAGCAGACTCCAAGACTCCAAGAATGAACTAGTGGTTACCAAAGGGGAGGGGTGTGGGAGGGCAGGTGGGGAGGGAGGGAGAAGGGGACTGAAGAGTATTATGTTTAGTACACATGGTGTGGGGGATCACGAGAACAGTGTATCATAGAGAAGGGACATAGTGGATCTGTGGCATCTTACTACACTGATGGACAGTGACTGCATTGGGGTATGGGTGGGAACTTGATAATATGGGTAAATGTAGTAACTACATTGTTTTTTTTCATGTGAAACCTTCATAAGAGTGTATATCAATCATACCTTAATAAAAAAAATGCCCTTTCTCTTATATTATGATGATACTAATCAGTGACAGTTTTTTTTTAATGTCCTTATTTGGCGAAATAAAAAGTTAACAATGCTATATGAACCTCTTTTCCCCCAACAGTTTTTGAATAATCATATGCTGGCTTGTGAAATCCCCTTTTCTACTATTATATTGGGGTATTACATAATTTTATTTTTTTCCAGTGCTACAGCAGTGTCTAGAAACATTTTGGAGCTCTTCTCTTAGAATCATTTCAGACCCACAGCACATTGTTTAGAGTCATTAGTATTGCAAGTCACTCACACCTGAGTTTAAATCCCGTAGCTGCCACTTAACTACCTGGACCACCTTGGATGAGTGGTTTCATCTCTAAGTCTATTTTCTTATATGTAACAATAGAGGTGATATTTGCTTCACAGAGTTGCTTGGAGGATCAGGTAAGATAATGCTTAAAATACCTAGCAAAAATAGTTGTTCAGTAAATGCTGATCCCTAAACCCCACTACCCAAAACCTGGACAATTTTTGCCCTGTGAGATAATTCCATATTTGCACACAGCAAGTACTCATTTAGATTTAAGTTGGAGTAATACTTTTTTGTGGCCAAAGTGAAATGGGACAATAAAGTTAGATTTAGAGGCTCATACAATGATGTCTAACATAATTCCAGTTCCTAAAGAGGGTTCCAAAAATACCTTTGACCCTATGGCAGTATGATTAAAATATAAATAGGTGTTTACACCCCTTTCCTTTCCTAATCGATTGGTAATCTTCCTTTGAATGTATATTTTCTGAAAAGCAGTTTTACTACTTCATCGACATGCTTTGTGCTTCTTGTTTTCTGCTTGACCCTAAATTAAGATGCAAATGAAATCTCAAATTTCCAGTGGATAGAAGACAACCAGTCTTACAAGCCACTTTCATGTAATAGAATTAAGAAAAGTTATTTTCATAGCATCACAAGACATTTGACCACTGTATTTCGGGAGATTAATTGCCATCCATGCCCCTCCCCTCCAAAATGTTAGTTAATTCCAAGTTCTTTATCTTGAAGAATAGTGGGAAATAATCTCTTTTCACCTTAGCAAGGAATTTACTCAAGATCCTCTACTTATTAGATTGCAAGAATTTTTGCCTAACTCTGTTGAAACAAGATTTAAATAATATTTAATTTAATATTTATTTAGAAACTGATTATTGATGAGAAGAAGTATTACTTATTTGGGAGAAATCCTGATTTGTGTGACTTTACCATTGACCACCAGTCTTGCTCTCGGGTCCACGCTGCCTTGGTCTACCACAAGCATCTGAAGAGAGTTTTCCTAATAGATCTCAACAGTAGTAAGTAACTCACATCCATCCTGTTTCACACATTCCCTTCTGGGCAATGTGAAAATGCTCTTTCTGTTCTTCAGTTTCAAATTCGTGTTTTATTGCTTATCAAGAAAGAAGTTTAATGTTTGATTTTTAAATCAGCCCTTCTCTATTCCTATGATATCTCCTGTTTTCCTGAAATAATTGGTGACTGGAGAGAGAAGAGAGTTTTGGGAGCACTGTCTTGAAGGAGGCAATAGATATATGTAGAGAACAAAAAAAGTAACCCAGGAATTAGAGACTGTATTTAAGTGTTTATAGACCCATAATAAACTGTGGTCCGGTTTAAGCAGAAGCTGTGATTAGCTCCCTTAATGTAGTGATGCAGAACATTAAAAAATACTGTCTTTTGAGCAAAATTTACTTTATAATGGGTTCTTTATCCCAGTTACATTTTGCTTTGATCACTAATACCAATTTTACTTCTCTGAGCACATGCCAGCTAATAAGATTTTCAGCTTTGCCAAAGATAATTCCAGAAATGCAGTTGAGATTTGATTGCACTGGGCCCTGAAGTCTGTTCATTTTGCCTATATATAAATACAGTGTAAAATGTAAAGAAGCTTGTCTCCTGGGCTGGTCTTGTTGTACTCCTTCCCGTCTCTCCCGAGACATACACACCACCCTGCTCTGTTTATATAGTGGTTTTGGAGAGCCCTGTCTCACAAGTACTTACTTGCGAATTTATCTCATCTTTTTCCATTTCATAACATGCAGAATGCAGACATGGAAAAATATTCAGACTCTCCAGTAGGATTTTGGCTTGCCTTGACATTGATGTGCACCTGTTTCAGCCAACCTTCTGTCTTGTTCTTGGGGAAACCCAAGCATAACTGCCACCAGGCCATCAATTCCTATGTTCCTTAGGCTTGGGGCTGGAGAGGTCAGACCACAGTGATGCCTGTCTCCTGCCTCAAGATGGCATGGCTATTGCTGGGTTGGAGCCATGCCTGCTGGATCCAGAATGGAGCCAAGCCTGTCTGGCAGGAGAGAACAAGCAGTGGTATTTGTTTCATGGGGTAACAGTAGGTCCGAAGATGTGTAAGAAATCCACTGAAGAGATTCAAGACTTAGTGAAGGAGTTTCCTTTTCATTGCGTCCCATGACAAGGGATGCAAAGTGGACCCAGTGCCATTCTCATTTTAAAAAGCAAAACTGATGTACTGGGAGGACCTGCTCTCCCTTCTACAACTCAGGTTGGTTTCTCTCTCTCACACACATTTCTGGTTTGGTTATTCCCAGCACATGGCACTTTCTTGGGTCATATTCGGTTGGAACCTCACAAGCCTCAGCAAATCCCCATCGATTCCACAGTCTCATTTGGTGCATCCACAAGGGCATACACTCTACGTGAGAAGCCTCAGACATTGCCATCGGCTGTGAAAGGAGATGAGAAGATGGGTGGAGAGGATGATGAACTCAAGGGCTTACTGGGGCTTCCAGAGGAGGAAACCGAGCTTGATGTAATTCCATGTCTATGTCACTGTCTTTGTCTTTTGGGCTCTTGGTTTTACAATACGTAGCTGTTCTCTGTAGCTTGAAATGCCAGTGGCTTAGCAGTAGGAGGTTTTCTTGAGCCTAGTAATGGGCCTTTGCCACTTTGGCAACATAGTGTGGTCAGTGTAACACACTTTGGAGAGCTACATTGTGTGGGTTTGGGTATGTATGACCAGAGCAAACAAGGAGACTGGGTCTCCTGCCAGTAGACCCTCTGGGTGTCTTAGGCACCTCCACTGGATGTTAGAAGCCAAGGCTGGGAGTTTAAAGTTTCCAAGAGCTGCACTGTCCAATGGAGTAGCTACCAACCACATTTCAAGTACTCAGTGGTCACGTGTGGCTAGTGACTACCATATTGAATAGCATGGATAGAGAACATTTCTAAAAAGTTCAGTTGGACAGCACTGACTTAGAGAGACTGAAGCTTTCATTCATTTACATTGCTTTTTTTTAAATATTGTCCAAATAGCCCAGGAATCTTCTGAATAAAAACTAGATTGCTTTTGTTCTTAATGGGGCTGGCTGCTCTGAAAGCCATGAATTTTACGAGATTTAATTTTAAGGTGCTGTGGTTTTCCTTTGCTAGAGGCTGACCCAGTGGTTTGTGATGTGGCTGTTGTCCTTTGCATGTCAGTCCTGCACGGGTGTAACTGGTCTCTTCATAGTCTCTTCAGGTAGACCGATGCAAGCATGTCCCTAACTACCCATGTGCATTTACTTTTCTTATACACCAAGTTTCCCAGCCTGGAGGAAGAAAAGCACAGTAGAAATCTTAAAATTTTAAAGTTGTTTTTTTTTTTTTTCTAAAAAAGTTAGCCTCATAGCCAGGGACCTCACTGGCAGTCATTCTTGCCCATTTCTCCTCTAGGCTGCTTCCATGCTTCCCTGTCTTTTAAGTTCAGTATGTTAGGTCCCTCCTGGGCCTTCATTCTCAAGACATTTGGAATATCTCAAATTGCAGTGCAGATTGTATTAAGTCCACCAGATTGGGAAGAGGCAGGCAGCAGTGGTGAGGCCAAGTTAACCACTGAGGTGGGTGCTTGGTCATGAATAGAATAGGAGCTGTACCCAGGAATGGGCAGTGACAGAATATTAACACCAAATATTAAGTGCACTAGCAGTCCTTAGGAGTTTTGTTATTTATTTATTTCCTTATGAATTTTAAAGGAGAGAGCTGTCAATTGTCCTTTCTCATCTCTGTTTTTTTACTTCAAAACTATTCTTGGAGTTCTTCTTAGCCATATTCCTTTAATTCTCAACATGATAGCCTTTCTCCTAAAAAAAACACCAAAACCTGAACTTGCATGTTTGCACAGATGACCTGTTCTCAGCTCAAGGCCTTTACCTCCTTTTGAATATCACTGCCCCATTAGTCAGGATGTTCCACATTCTATTAAAGGAGGCTTATTAATACCAGCAGTCTAGGGACAGTAGTGAATCTCTTCTGGTTCAGAAGAGAATTTTGTCTGCCTGGGGAGGTCAAGGTTAGCCCCTAAGGCCTTTCTGCCCTTTATTTAGTAATATATTCTCCTTCAAATTCCCTGCATACTGACTCCTGTCTTTCCTGTGTGAACCTTGGCCTAGAACCTGACAGAGTTCAACACTGCCCACAACAAGCGGATTTCCACCCTCACCATTGAGGAGGGGAATCTGGATATTCAGAGACCAAAGAGGAAGAGGAAGAACTCACGGGTGACTTTCAGTGAGGATGATGAGATCATTAATCCAGGTGAGGTATCTTCCTAGTTGCTTCTGATGGAAAGGCTATAGTCTCAGTGTACACAACCTGTGGTCAGTTGTAGTATTTCTCAACAAGATTTAGGATAATAGATGCCATATTAAGGGGAGATACTACTTACAGTTTATTGGTGGAATACCCACAACACTCACACATCATCCAGTTGCAGTGTGGAAGAACTAGCTAAAGTAGGACTGTCTAGTTCAATATACAGAGCAAGGCTGTAATTCTCTGCTGACCCAGTATGTCTGTGTCACAAGAGGTTTAAGTGAAGTATAGGTGTTTGATGTCTTTACCTCAAAGCAGAACATGGTATTATGGGGTTTTGAGAATGATTGGTAACTCTAGGATTGGAAAATCTTCTGCCACTGTTAACCACATTGATGACTTGGCTCTGTAAGGAGTAATTTACAGAAGTTTGTATGGAAATGTCAGTAAGATGAGAGCATTAGTTTATGGGACAGCCACTAAATTTACCAGTTTGTTCCACCATTCAACATTCATTTATTGGGCTCATGTCATATCTCAGATATTCTGATAGGTAGATAACATAGAGCTGGGAAATAGAGTTTATGCAATGAAGATGGTATTGGGATTCATAAAACCTTGTTTGAAAGTAAATCTCAGTGGATGGAAAAAAGATTCCCAGACTAACAAGTTGTTTTTATTTCCTAAATTGAAATGCAGTGAGAATGACTTTCAAGTCCTCTATTTAGGTTCAAAATATTGAGTATTTAAATGGAGAAGATCTGCTACAGCGACAGCTGATGAAAAAAAGATGTAGCAGTGTCAGTTAATTGAAATGCAGTCTGAGTCATCAGGGGATGTGAAAACTAATCAAGAGCTGTAATAGAAGGATGGGGGTCAGTAACCCACTGGCCTGCATTTGAGTAGAAGTCATCCAGATGTGTTACTAAATGCAAGCATGGTCCACCCAGGGGTTATGTGGTCCTGGGAGGAGGAGATGCATGGCTAGGGAAGAATGGTTCCCTGAGTGTGGGGAGTACAGGGGGAGCATGTGTGAGGGAGAGCAGGTTGGAGGAGGCACGGCCACTGTGGTCGGATATTTGCAGGGCTAGCCTTAGGGAAAAGGAGTGGACAAACCAGAGCCTGTGAGTAGCAAGTATTTGGCTCAGCATCAAAGCAACAATGATTTTTTCTCATATTTAGAAGAAGAATTAAAAGGATTCCTCTAAAAATGGGGACATTCATTCTAGTGACAGCAAATTCACTTCCTGATGGAGTGTGAGGTGTGATGGATTACTTCTCAAATAGCGACACCTGGGGGAAATGTTTCGGCAGGGGCTGGATGACCAACCTGGAAAGCTTATTTCTGGGCCACAGAACTTACTACATGAGTTTCTAGGGGGTTGAACCTAGCAATTTGTAATTTTAAACAAGCTCTTGGTTGTACTGATGAACACCCATCAATTTGGGAGTCACTGGGCTAGACCATCTTTTAAGTCTCTTTGCAGACTCAGGATCTCATCTGCTCTGTTTTTCTCACTGAGAATTACTTCCCTGGAGCTTCATTAAGGCAGTCTGTTCTGGCAGAGGATTGCATGGTGGTTAAGAGCATGGCGTCTGAAATCAGAGGGTCCATCTTTGAAATTCACTTCTCCACTTGGGAACTTTGTAACCTTTGCCAAGTGACTTAACAGACTGCTGGCCTCACAGGGTGGGTGGGGAGATGAAATTATTAATTTACGTAAAAATACTTCAGAAAAGTGCTTGGCATTCAGTAAACCCTGGATAGATGTTAGCCGTTATCCCCATCATCTGCCTCCCCTTTTACCCATGTAACTTTTCCTATACCAGAAGTAGGCTTAGCAAGGAATTTGTTGGTAATCTTCCGGGAGCAGAGAGATCCTAGAGCAGGTGTATCTTCTCTCTAGGAGGAGAATGGCTAGAGAGTGAGGAGCAGGTGAGAGGCCTGAGCACCATTCAGCCAGCACAGGGCAGAGTCCCCCAGAGAGGCTTAGCCCCTGCCTCCACGGTCCTGTTGTGCGAGTGGGGCCTACCCTTCATTAGCCACTCCTCTAGGGCTCCAGTTGCTCTTGTGCTTCATTTAGGTTTTCCTTGCTGAAGGGGTGATTGGAACAGGGTTTCTAGAGGGATGAGAGAAAGGATAAGGATGCCTTTTTTAAAGACCTTGTCTCCTTCCTGATCAGCCTGGATATCTTTTTCTTTCTTCTTCCACATAGAAGCCATTCGTTCATTCACTCATTTGTTGAAAAAAATTGGTTGTGAGTGTAACACCAGGGTATGTTCTTTAGAAGCATCCTAATATGTGAAAAGCCAGACTTAAGCCAGGGGTTAATTATTTAAATGAAATGGGGAATCTTTGTTTTTCAAAGGATTTCATAGGAGTGTGTTTTTAAATAGCAAGTGCCCTCGTTACATTTAAAGTAAGATGTACAGCATTTATAAGGGAACAATTCTTTTCCTACCATTAAAAGGGGGTTGAAGCAGGTTGGAGTACTTTTCTCTAGTAATGATAATAAGTTTGTGCCTGCCCGTTCCCACACGTTCAGCCTTCAGTGAGAAAACTTGGTCATCCTAGGTGATCCAGCGCAATAGTCCTGTCTGTGCTACAAGAACACTGTTTTCACCTCTTGAAACCCCTCTACTATGCTGTAGCCTATCTGGCTTTACAGCTGTAAACTTCTTAAAGGCAGCATATCTTGCTCTTTATTCCCATGCCTGACGTCCAGTAAGGCATGAGAGGGTGGCTGACTGCAAGTACATTCCTTCCTTGGTCCTAGTGCTTTCTCCCTGCAGAGTAAGTGAACCTGGAGGCTTTCTAGGGTCTAGTAATGTGTGGGTAAGCTGTAAAAGGGAGCTCCTCTCCACTCCGCCTGGATGGAGAGTGAGGGTTCAGATCCTTTAGGAAAAGTCTTGATTATGTACAGGTCAAAGGCCAAGTTAAGTTGAAAGCCCTTGGTCTCCATATTAATTCTGTTATCTGCTAGTGAGCGAGCATTAGCCAGGTATCTGGTGTGTGACCTCCTATTTTATCACTAACGGGATTGATAATATGTGCTCTTGGGGTTCTCCCCTACAAAGAGGAAAGTGTATGGAATGGGAAAGAACTTGGGGAAGGCAACACAGCCTAGTGGTCCAGAGCACCATATTTCTGGCTGACTGGACTCAGACCCTGGCTCTTCTATCCTCCAGCAGGGGACTGGGCCAGCACTTCTCTTCCAAGCCTGAGTTTGTTTTCTTTTCTGTTAAATGTTTTTGTAGTTGTACTTACCTCGCAGGGTTATTGTGAGGGTTTAACACAGTACGCAGCACAACAGTAAGCACTGAGGCATAGCTGTGTGTTGCGGTCTTCCTGTGAGCTGTGATTGCCTCCTTGGCGGTGAGCCTTGTGCCTGTCATCCTGTCATTGGAGCACCAAACTAATCCTTCGCTTGCCTCTTACCACAGAGGATGTGGATCCCTCAGTTGGTCGCTTCCGGAACATGGTGCAGACTGCAGTGGTCCCAGTTAAGGTAGGAAGCACATTATAACAATATCTGAAATGCTGTACAGTCTGGTTTAAAACCCAGTCTTTTATGTGTAGGTAAGTGTTAAATATGTGCTTAATTTTAAAACATAGTCTTTGCTCCTCCATTTTTCATCCTGTGGAAATACTTCCACCCTATCTATGTCTAGAGGGCCTTGGAGTGCATTAGAAATGCTGCAGGTGACCAGCCTGCTTGATGCTGTGTGTAGAATATGATGTGATGTGATGTGAGTCTGTAAATTTACCTCTGAGCAGGGTGCAGAGGCCCACCTTTTTTTTAGCCGTTCCCTCCTGACTCAGAGTAAGTCATTAGATGAGGAGAGGTGGTGGTGCATTTGTGCATGGCACCTCTGGCTTTTGCCATGTCTTTATTGTTGTGAATGGGAATGACACAGATAGGAAAGAGCCCAGATCTGGATTAACTTTAAAGATCAGGTATGTTAGAGAACAAAGAAGTGGAAGCTTCAGAGATACTCTGATTGCTCAACATGTGGAGGAACTACCTGTCAGCCAGAACTGACAAGAGGGAACGGATGGCCCCTTGAAATAGTGAGATCCCTGTTCAGAGGTGTTGAAAAGTGACTGGAAGATGCTGGCCAGAGGTGCTCTGGAGAGTTTGTTTTTAAAAGAATCTTTAGAATATATTAGACTAGATTGATAAAATGTGTCAAGTTTCAGGATTAGTTTTTGTTTAATCCAGAAGGAGTCGAGGAATGAGGGGGATTCTTTTGTGAACTTTAGTGTGGAAAAGCCCAAGGTGGAATTTTTCTGTCACTCGATAGCATTCATACCACATTCCCCCTTGAGCTCTTTTCTCTCTTTTTTTTCCTTCCTTTTAAACCAACAGATATTTTTATAGTTGACCCTTGAACAACTCAGGGGTTAGAGGTCTGATCCCCTGCACAGTTGAAAATCTGCATATAACTTGACTCCCCAGAGCTTTACTCCTAATAGCTTACTGTTGACCGGAAGTCTTACCAATAACAAAAACAGCCAATTAACACATAAGTTGTATGTTATATGTATTATGTACTGTATTCTTACCATAAAGCTAAAGAAAAGAAAATGAAAATGTTTTTTTAAATTGTCACAGATCTCCAAAAAAATTTCCAGTGTATTTATTGAAAAAAATCCATGTGTAAGTAGACCTGACCAGTTCAAACACATGTTGTTTAAGAGTCCACTGTACTTTTATGCCAGTTTTATTGTGCTATACTTTACATACCATAAGATGCGCTCATTATAAGTATACAGTTTGAGTTTTGACAAGTGTATACACCTAGGTAACCACCACCATATGTGATGTATGGGTGATTTCCATCATTCCAGGAAGTTCCCTCATATCCCTTTGCTATATACTTCCCTCCTAATCCCAGCCCCCCAGTAAATCCTTTCAGTTGCTGAGATTTGTTTTGCTTTCAGATTAATGTTTAAAAATTGGGCTTCCAACATGAAGATACTAACTTCCTATTTTCCCTCCAAAAAAGATAAATTTTAATGCCTTCTTCCACCTGCTATCACTCTCTGTTTCCAGAAAGAGGGAGGCATGTGACCTTAGGATGAAGAGTGGACACTTAAAGTGGATCATTTGTACTCTAGGAAAAGCCCACACGTTGTCTCATTTTTCTCCGTGTGGCATAGGATGGTGAATGCTTTGTGTGTGGCAGTGTTTGGGAGCCATCACATTAGACAACTACTGTCAGGTCTCCTCAGACCCTGAGATTTCAGGACAGTGAAATAAGTTGCCTGAGAAACAAAACAAGCTAGAGGCTTAGGGGCCTTCCCCGAGTTTTCTAGGGCTGGGATAGCAAAGGCTAACTAACACAACTCTTGTGCCTCACCTCTTATCTCCTCTGCTTCTTGTAACCACAGAAAAAGCGGATGGAGGGCCCTGGCTCCCTAGGCCTGGAGGAATCAGGGAGCAGGCGCATGCAGAACTTTGCATTCAGTGGCGGACTCTACGGGGGCCTGCCTCCCACACACAGTGAAGCCGGCTCCCAGCCGCATGGCATCCACGGGACAGCACTCATTGGTGGCTTGCCCATGCCATACCCGAACCTTGCCCCAGATGTAGACTTGACTCCCGTTGTGCCGTCAGCTGTGAACATGAACCCTGCACCAAACCCTGCGGTCTATAACCCTGAAGCTGTCAACGAGCCCAAGAAGAAGAAATACGCAAAAGAGGCTTGGCCGGGCAAGAAGCCCACACCTTCCTTACTGATTTGATGTTTTTGGTCATGGAATAGGGTGGGATTGGGTGGGAATAGGGTGGAAGGGTGATGGGGGAGCTAAGGAGCTAGGGAGAACAACGTTGCGTGTGTGCGGTATCGTCTTTCAGAATGTCTCCTGGGGTCCTGACCATGTATTGTTAAAACAGGTTAGGGTTGAAGCATCCCATAAAGGCCTGTCTTCAGAACCTTCAGTGTAGAGAACTGTGTCGAACATCCTTTTAAATAGGTGTAACATTTAAAGGCCTAAACATTCTCAGGCTTCACATTATCTTTTTATTTTCTCCCTCTTACTAGGATCATTGTTATTTAAAGTCATACACCCGGGGAAAGACCCCAGGCCCTCAGGTCAAATCTGGAGCTGTGGAGGTGACAACAGAATTGCCAGGCTTGAGGGTCCAGCAGCCTAATTTCATTTACTGTCCCTGCAAGTCCCAGAAAGCAGAAGGGTAGCCGTGGATCCCAGGGTGATTAAAAAGAGCGTTTAGAATTCTTCAGCTAAGCTAAGGTTTAAACTCAAAACATGTTTACCTGGGTCAGTGGTTTTGAGGTCCAGTAGTTATGCTTTCTCTTTTGTCCTTTCTGTTGGAATGAGAGCATTCCTTCCTCTGTGACCAGTGCCACAGACACAGGTTGATAGTTATAAACTCAACGGTATTGATTTTTGAACTTCACCTGTTTTTCTTGTCAAACCTGGGTGCTCTACTTGCCAAAGTTTCTCGTTTGATTCCAGAGTACTGTCCTCTACTCTAATGCATTACTTTCCTTTTCAAGTGTAATGAAGGCAATTCTTAAAGGATCTGACCAGTTAGAGCAATTCCAATTAAAAAGAAAAAGATTTTACTTTGCAAATAACTGATGTCTCGAAGGACGTTTGTAGATGTTGGTTCGGAGGCTCTTCCCCCCCTTTTGACAGAGAGTTCTTGTCATCCAGACTCCAAGACGAGACCTGGCTAACAAGCATAGGAGGCGAAGGTAGGAAACATTATATGAACTTTGTACAGAGATTTGTACATTTGTGTAATAGGCCTTTTCACGCTTTATGTGTAGCTTTTTACCTGTAACCTTTATTACATTGTAAATTAAATGTAACTTTTGTCATTCGGGTGTAGTCTGCTTCGTTTGCCATTACCAGTTCCCACTCCCATTAGGGAATGTTTGTCAGAGGTGCAGGTGTTGGCCTTGGGAGGTGATGCTCTGTCCCCATTTTACTATCACAAATAAAAATGATCCCTGATGAATGCAGAAATTCTAATTAAGGATTCCAGTCTGCATCCTGAAGCCTGCCAAGCAAAGTGGGCCAAGGGGTGCTGCTGACGTTCATCAGAAGGCAGAACCGCAGATCTGACGGGGGAGACTGGGCACTGGGGCATTTGTCCTGGGCTGCACATGGTGGACACCTGGTCACCTGCTCTCTGGTTACAGTTGCAGGCATGTGAACTGTAGCTCATGTGGCAGGAGAGCAAAAGGAAGCTGAAGCTGAGTAAGTAGCAGGAGTTCAAGCAGAGTTTGTGTTGAACGGATGTGTCCTGGTAACAAGAACCTCGTGTACTTTGTGTGTGCTGAGACTTACATGTGGCTTTGTGATGAAGATGGCAACTAGGTTCCAAATCCCATGGGTTGCAAGTGTGGACCTGTGGCAGGAGCAGCCTGCTAAAGAACAGAGATCTGTAAAACCACAGCTGCACAAGAAGTTGACTTCTTAGCTGGCTTCTGTGAAAATGCATGTCCTGGGACCGCTTCCTCTCTCTGCAGTGAAGGTTACTGTTGGTCTGGTAGCCGCCACTCACCGAGCACCTACCTCCCTGCCACCATTTACAGCGTGTCATTTAATGCCTGTAATCGTAAGAGGAATACCGTTTATCCCCACTCTTCAGATGAGAAAACAGGTTCAGGAAAATATTAGCTCCCCTGGGATCCCACTGTAGTGATGTCAGGATCAAAACTAGTCCAAATCCAGAGCCTGGGCGTGGGTTTACACAGCCACCAGGAGGAGTTAAAGTGAAGGATGTACTTGGCCCGTGGGTGGCATCATGTGCTTTGGAGGCTGTAGCTATATTTATTTGTAGCTAGGTGTTCATTTTGAAGTTTTTAAAAGAGATGTCTTCCAAATTGCACAACTTATCTGGAAGGATATTTGGATTTAGATCTAGTTTCCATAGTAAAGCAAGTCCTGGTGAGAGAGATTATGCCACACATTATTTGGTTTCAGAATTTGAGTTACAGAAAAGCATGCATTTGGTGTCTTGGACAAAGCTCAATGGAAAGAACATCAGAACCTGCAAAGCTGTATCTTCCCCTTCAAGGGCCCAGGTGATTTTAGTGGAAGCAGGACTGGCTGAATTTGGTAGTTACATGAGGCATCTGTGTGGAAACCTGGCTTACCTGGCCCCACATTTCTGTTTTATTCCAATCATATTTTAGTGCCCCTCAAACATGAGGGCCGCAGGAGGATTTCTGTGCCTCTCACCCTTGATCTGGCCCTGGGCCCTGACCATAGACAGGCTCCTGTTCACCACAAGGGCTGGCAAATGACTGTTGCTTAGGTGAGCACACTGCTGAGGGACACAGCGCCCCCCATCCCCGGGACACAGGCCCGCTCTGGATGAGGTGGAACTGCGGCTTCCCCAGAGTCCTGTGCCCGCTAATGGTCCATCTGCCAGGGAGGAAGGGACGACCTGTGTTCCCCCTGCCCGACTGGAGGGGGGTGAGCCCCGCTGAGAGGGACACTTACTGACGGGGACCCGCCCATTCTCCAGGTCATCCCAGCTCCGGATTAGCCATTTGTGACAGCTTGCCTAAAACAAGCTCCCCATTATCTGCAAATCACAGGATTTTAATCAGAAGGATTTATGAGATCCTGACTGGATCCTTTATTCTGCCTGTGAACAAACCATGGCAGTAGGGACTCACTCGCTCGTCTAACAGGGACTGCACACGTATGAGTTGGGCATGCAGAAGTGCACTTCTACCTGAAAGAATCCTGGCTTGGAGAGGAACATATGCCCACTCCGCATGCTGTTGAAGCTTCAGTTGAGGGAGGAACAGGGTGAGGACAGCAGAGAGGAGCAAGACCCTGGGGCCAGGGAAATGACATTTGAATAGAGCATTGAAGAACAAATAGAGATTTATTGTGCGGAGGAGTGTGGACCACTGTTCTCCAGGCTAAGGAACCAGTGTGAGGTATGGAGGGAGGGTGTAGGGACGGCTGGTAGGTGGGAGGAAGGAGGGATCAGAAAGGCAGAGGCCAGATCCCACCCTGTAAGTTTTGCTGGGAAATTTGAAAGTACCAGCAAGCCACTGAGGGACATTTTTTTTCTTTACTTAAAAAATAATAGAGACATGCTCATGTAGAAACTGGAAAATTCAGTGTTACATACAACTCACATAAACTCAGCCCCCGACCCAGAGTTGGGGAACTTTCCTGGGGAGATTTCAGGCAGGGGCAGTGACTGGTCAGATTCAGATGGTAGAAAATCCCTGTGGTGGCAGATGAATAAGGCAGTTCCCTAACCTCAGGTGAGACACCTAGACCCTGCAGACGGGGGTCCTAGTGCTCTCTCACATAGTCTTGCAAATTTAGAGGTAAGTCCAGATGTTGAGAGTGTGGAGGAGAAGGTTCCTCAGAAGTTCTATCTGCAGGAGGGAGGGTGAAATGGAAAGGTTCAGAGGGCGACCATTGATGTCTCCAAGTGGTGGAGGGAAGGGGACTTCAAGCAGGAGCAGCAAAGCCCCCACGTGTGGTGGGGGTAGTGGGAAGGCTGTGGAGTGCTCACCTACTGAGACTGGATGGGATCTGTTCCTGTGGAGTAAAAGCAGCACCTGTTCTGTTGGAGGAATTGGATTCCAGAGACTTCCACCTCTGAACTCTGAACAGAAGTGCAGTTCCAGAGTTAGCCAGCAGGCAGCGCCCTGCTGCCATTCTTGGAGCCCCTAAGGTAGCCAGTGTGAACCCCTGGCTGTGGGGTGCAAGAAGAGGAGAAAAGGAAGGGAAAGATCTGGCTCACTGTCCAACACCCTGTGGGCACTTTCTGTGTGTTTTATTCCCTTGAATTCTCTCAACAGCCCAGAAAGGAGGTTGGTAGTGTCCCATTTCACAGCTGAGGAACGTGAGGCTTGGAGAGAGTATGCCGAGCAACAGTTGGCAAGTGGTAAAGCAGGGCTCCGAACCTGCCTGTGAGGTTTTGGACTGAACAGCAGCAGGGAGCTCCCGGCTTGCTTGGTTGCCTGCCTGTGCCCTGGGTCTGTGGGAGACCTTGGATTTGGCTTCCTTTCTGATTTTCCTCCCTCTCGATTTCTTACCCCTCTGTCTCAATCTCTGGTCCCCTCTGGGGTCTGTGGGGGCTCCAAGCACTGTCCCCACACGTTGGCCAGGCCTGGTGACGGACAGCCTGCAGAAGCTATGGCGTCTCGGCCTGGGGTAAAGTTTCCAATAGAAGTGAGATATGGTGAGATCTGGATGGAGCTCTCAGAAGGGACCCTCCAGTGCCAGGTCTCCAGCCTGCATGCACCGCCCGCCATTACCATGTTCTTCCTCACGCAGCCATGCTGCCCCTGGGTGCAGGCGCCTGTCTTCCCTCCCGGCACATGTGCCCTCTCCCACTGACTTCAACCGCCCCAACCTGTGGACTGTCCCACCAGTACTCAAGCTCACTATCACTGCTCTTAAAGGGAGAAGATACAAACCACTTCCTTACCCGCTACCTGAAGCTCCTTCCGGTTCTCTGTTCCACCTCGCGGTGTAACTCCTGGAAAGAATGGTCTCATCTTGCTATCTCCAGTTCTCTTCCACTCCCTCTTCAGTCCACTTCAGTGAGGCTTTTGGCCCAACACTCCATCAAAACCAAGCCTGCTAATGGCCCCCCAGTCAGCCCTCCGGCTCTGCCCAGGGCTGCCCCAGGGGCCCCGCATTCCCTCCAGAGGAAGAGTCAGTCTTTACATTGCAAGTCTGGCCCTGCTCTGTATCTGCTCTGTTTCCAACGGATCCTCCTACCTCTCTCCCCTTTGCTCACTCTGCTGAGGCCCCCCCCAGGATCTGGCTGATCCTTCTACCCTCGAGGCACACTCCCGCCCTGTCCCTGTGTCTGGAACTCTTCCGCTTAGACGTCAGCATGGCTCCCTGCCTCACCACCTTCAAGCTGAGAAAGAGAAAAAGAAAAGCAGGCCTTACCTCCCGCCGCTGGCCTGGCCCTCCAGCGAGCCTTGGTGCTTTCCTGTTGGACGGAAGCAATTTCCCAGGACGTCTACATCAGACAGGGTCACTGACGGTGATGGATCAAGACAAAGGGCCATCTGTGATCACATCTGAGCACAGACCAAACCTGAACATGGTCCAAACCACAAAAAGGACCACCATCCCTGCAGTGGGTTGACTTGTGGCCCCAAAATATATGTCCACCTGGAACCTCGGAAGTTGACCTTACTCGGAACAGGAGCTTTTGCAGATATTGTTAAGGTGCGAACATGGAGGTGCGATCGTCCTGGGTTGGGCCCTAACTCCACTGACGGATGAGACACGGACTCGGGAAGGCAGGTGAGGATGGGAGTGGAGGTTCGAGCGATGCGTCTGCGAGCTGAGACAAGCCAAGGATTGCCAGCAGCCACCAGAGGCTAGGAGAGGCATGGGACAGGTCCTCCTCAGGGTCCTCAGAGGGAACCAACCCTGACAACACCTCCATAGCCAACTTCAGACGCCAGAGCTGCGAGAGAACATTTTTGTTGTTATGAGCCACTGCGTTTCTGGAAAAGCCCAGAATGTGGGCTGAAATGGTAGTCCCCAGAGGAAGTCCAGGCATAGTGTCCCCCTCAGCAGCTCACAGCACGGCTGAGGGGCAGCCTGGCCCAGGCTGGTGCTCCGTTCTTGTCCCGGTGGCCCCAGCCACATGCCTCCAGACTGACCAGAGCCGCAGACGGCGCTGCCCTCTCAATTTCGTACCCCTTTGTCTCAATCTCTGGGAGAGGTGGGCTCCTTGACCCAGACCCCACTGCGCCATCCCTCCCACCCCACTCTGCCTCCTCGATGCCTCTCTGTCTGCCCAGCAGCCCAGGCGGGCTTCCCTGCCCTCTACCCTGAGCACTGCCGAGGCCTCCCAGGTGCCCCC